CATTACTTTTTTAAGGATATTAAAAAGTAATTTAAAACAATAATTAAGAGGAATATAGAAAAATAGGAATAATTTTTTTATAAAATGAGGACCATGATTACTAAATAAGAAAATATGATAATTCTTTTGGGACATACGAAAATATTAAAATAAAACAAACTCTTTTAGGATGGAGTGTATTTAAAAGACTGAGACACTACAAAAGTAACAAGCTTAAGAAACCGAGAAGAAAAAATGAAAATAAAAATAAAGAGGTGAAGAAAAGTTAGGAAAAGAAAACTTAATAATAAAATAAAATAAAAAGTTAAAAAAAAAATAAAAAAATTGATCATATATATATTCAGAAATTATAGTCAAGGTCTTTCTTTGTTATAATGTGTCCACTATAGGTTTTTGATAATTTGCAACGCTACAAATTTGGTAAGCAATAAGACATGCCAAGCATTTTTCTTGAAATATTATAGTCAAATACTATATTCGTTCGGCTCTAATAGTCTCATTTATTTTTTTGCGTATTGATTTTTTAATATTAATTATTATATCAAAATATAGTATAAATTTAAAAAAAAATTGTAAAAATACTTTCATTAGTTTTTTATAATACTAATAGTATGACATTTGTAAAAAGAAAATTATACAAATGTAAGAATATTTTTAATGTTGAGTACAATGGTGTAAAAGATGAATGTAATCCTTAGAAGTGAACGAAAGAAAGAAGTACTAATTAATTTATCTCTTTGTCATGATGTCTGTCCATTTTCAACAATTGAAAATTTGAAATTATAATGGCTGCGTAATATTGTCCTTGTGCATTTAGGAGCTGTAGGCCAAAATAATACTCCACTAAGGGTCTTTTATAGGCCATCTTTAATATATATATATATATATATACTTATCGTCTTCGTCATCGCATTGTTAGCCGGAATTGCAAGCTCTGTAAATTGACATAGAATTTTACAAACAAACAAAAAAAAATAAAAAATTAATAAACTAACATATTTTTAAATGATTAATTTATATATTTATTTGAATAAATAACAATTAGCTTATATTCTACCAAACAGAATCAATTCATATTCACCAATCTAATTATATTTTTTTTTTATCAATTTCATTATCTGTTAATTTTTCATTTAGAATCAATTCAAAAGGATGTCGGATTATTTAATAAAAAAAAAAAAGAAATTATAAAAAGGATGTCGGATTATTTTTTTTACTTATTTAGACAACAGTTTCTCTTCCCTAATCTATGTGAGGATAGGTAATAAGTGCATCCTCAGTAGGCAATAGGCAATAGGCAATAGGCATGGTTAAAAAGTGATCAATAACTTATGAGTAAATATAATATCAGTTCAGGTATGGATTTTAATTAAAATTATTTTGCACTCTTTTTTTTCTTTGTTCTACGTAATTTGTCCATAGTTTTTATTTTTTGTTTATTCTACATAATTTATTATTTTTCAAAAAAAATATAATTATATACTTTAACTATATTTTAAATTTTATATTTTATATATTTTTTTAAAATTTTAATTAAATTATTTAATTATTTTAATTTGTAATTAATTTTACTAATATACTTCTCAATTATTTATTAATTATATTTTACCTGAATTTTATGATGAAATTATTATTCTTGTTGTTCATTATATATAATATTTTTATATTATTAATAATATTATTATTTAAAATTAATGTAACTGGAGAAAGTAAGTGGAAGTATCGGGGTGGCAGGGTTTCTAGTTTGGGTCCCTTTTAATTTCCTCGCTTTGTTTTGACTGCTTTTACACTCTAACTGCAACTCCATTTTTTATTTATTACTTACTTTTGAATATAAATATCTGATGGATATGTCAACTATTTTCATTTCCTTCTTAACTACCGACCTTAAATACGTTACCTATCAATCATATTAATTTTTTTGCCCCAATCAATTTGCATACTTGATTGATTTAAGATATACAATGCTTTTCAAAACTATAGTTTTAATTGGGCTCAATACGAGATTTAAAAAATATTAATATTATATTGATAATTGTTAAAAAGAATAGATAAAAGATTTTTTTGTCCTTGTGAGTGTATCAGTGTAAAAACAGTGGCGATTGTATAATAAAAATGAAAAAGTAGGGATAGTTTTACGGTGATATGGTTATTTATGAAAATAAAACTATTATTTTATAATAGACAAAAATAGTAAACAAGACTATTGTATTGGGACGGAGGCTGTAATACTTTTATATAACACAATATTTATTATATTATAAAATATCATATTGAGTCATAACATAACATATGTTGTATCGTAAATGTTAGAAATTTTGAGGGAAAATAATGATATTTTCTTATTATCGTCAAAATAAGGAGCCTATATATAGGTTATACAAAAAAGAGACTCAAATCTAAGTAATCTAATCTATAAATAAGATCAAATCTAGATATAAATCTACTAAATTTGAATATCTAAAATATCTCAACAGAAAATATGTATGATAGTATATAATATATGTTTGATTATCTATATCAAACAACAATATGCTGATTTTATTAATTATATAAATTGTGTCCTTTTGTGAATTTATTAAAAAAAAAATTATTAGTCAACTCTTTTTTTTTAAAAAAAATAACAAATAAAATAATTTTTTTTATATTATAGTAAAAATTAATTTTACATTTAAAATATAATACTATATCAAAATTTGTTTATATTTGATAAGACAACTATTTAAATTTAAATTTTTATTATTAAAAAAGTCCAACTCAAATTTCAATTTTACAAACAAACACATCTTTCGTAGAATGAGGTATGAATTTTGACACGCCCGTGTCGGGTCTTTTTCCGCCACATGAACAACCTATGTTCTGTTCTGTTGAGCATTTCATTTCCGACAACGTTTACTATTTTATTCAATTAATTTGTGCGAGTCCTTTATTTCATTCAATGAATCTGTATGAATTTCGGCATTTAAGTGTGTTACAAATTATTATTATTATTGAAACTAACCGTGTAATAATATTTTATTTGTGCGAATCCTCTCAAGTGTGTTATGAATATTAATGTTTGGAAAAAAAAAAAATCAATTTTGGTCCCAGTATAAAAAAGCTCATCAATTTTAGTTTTAATATAAACAATTTCAATCAATTTTGTTCCTATTATAAATAATTTTAATTAATTTTGGTCTCACCGTTAAAAAATTAATTGAAATTGTTGACGTGGACATGACGGAGGTGACGTGGCAGTTGATCTGGAAAGTACACGGCCATGTTGTTACATGACCATGTATATTTCAGTGTATAATTATATATGGTCATATTGTTACACGGCGATGTACAATTATACACGGTCATGTACATTTCTATTTTAGTTTAAAATTTTATTGTTTTGTTATATTTTTATTTAAAAAAAATATTTTGAATTTAAAATAGTTGATATAGTTAAAATGACAAAATCAATAGTAAGTATAATATAATTAAAATTTATTAATTTTAAACAAATATAAAAATTTATAAGATATATTCTTTTGAAAGATTTTGTCTAAAATTTTATTATTCATAAATAAAAAATTTCTCTTACAAACATTCAATTACACAACTATTTTATAATTTGTTATATTATAGTAGTATTAAAAATTAATTTATTATTTCAATACATTAATTGGATGTTTGTAAGAGAAATTTTTTTGCTAAATAGTAGAATTTTAAATAAAATTTTTCAAAAGAACACACTCGATAAATACTTATATTTGAACTCAAATTAATATATTTTAAATATATTATGATTATTATTAATTTTTTTTATTTTAACTATATCAACTATTCTAAATTAAAAAAATATATATTAAAAAATATAACAAAAATTAAAAATTTTAGACTGAAACAAAAAGGTATACGACCGTGTAGAATTATATATGGCCGTGTAACAATATGGTCATGTATAATTATACGCTGAAATATACATGATTATGTAACAACATGGCCGTGTGAAATTGTACATGGCCATGTAACAACATGACCATGTATAATTATACACTAAAATATACATGACCATGTAACAATATGATCGTGTATAATTATACACTGAAATATACATGGTCATGTAACAACATAACCGTGTATAATTGTACATGGTCGTGTACTTTCCAGGTCAACTGCTACGTCACCTCCGTCATGTCCACGTCAGCAATTTCCGTTGGTTTTTTAACGGTGAGACCAAAATTAATTAAAATCGTTTATAATTGGACCAAAATTGATTAAAATTGTTTATATTATGACTAAAATTGATGAGTTTTTTTATATTGAGACCAAAATTAATGAATTTTTTTATATTATGACCAAAATTGATAAATTTTAATTATATTGAGACCAAAATTAATTTTTTACCCATTAATATTTTTTTTTGTGATTGACAGCGTATATGAGTATGTATGTAAGGATATCTTATTGTTATATAACACTACAAATTTGTTTAGATAAGGAATTTTTGGAGATTTTTTAAAATTTAAAAGTTTAAAAAAAATAAAAAATTAGTATTTGATTTGATATTTTTTAAAATATATATATATATTTAATATTATATTTTTTAAAAAATAAATAATATCAAATGAATAAAAATGTATTTATATTTATTATATTAAAAAAATAATATATTCATTATAAATATTCAAAATAATAAATTGATACAGATAGTACATGTTGCTTCCAGCTGAGCTTCATTGTAGAATCGCAGCAGTATCGATCGAGTCGCCACGCGGCAACAGTAAAGTATCTGATTCTCATATTTATTATTATTATTATTATTATTATTATTACCGCAGAGTGACCAAACATTCCAACACGCCGCCTGACGTCAACATAATGACGACCTTCATCTTTTTGACTTTGAATTGAATCCCTCTCTCTCTCTCTCTCTCTCTCTCTCTCTCTCTCTCTCTCTCTCTCTCAGTCTCATTATTAGTATATAAATGGGCGCGTGTCCGTCCACCTCTTCTGCACCTTAAATTAAATTCATTTCCATCATCATCATCGTCCTCAAATCAACAACTCAACAATAAAAAAAAGGAAAAAAAATGGGTAAGGCTCGTAATTGCAGTTCCTCCATTAATGGCGGAGCTCCAAGAATTGAGAGGAAAATCATCGAGAAGAATCGAAGGAACAAGATGAAGACTCTCTACTTCAACCTAATCTCTCTCATCCCTAGCCACCATTCCAAGGTCACTCAATTCTCTCTCTCTCTCTCCAAGATATATAATCATATATCAATAATGCTAAATAACTATATTTCCATGGATGCAGATGGAAGGTTTGCCACTGCCCGATCAGATCGAGGAAGCCGAAAGCTACATCAAGACCTTGAACACGAAGCTCGACAAGATCAGGTTGAAGAAGGAGATCTTATTACAGACAAAAAAGACTTCCGATTCCTGCATTACTACATCCACCACGACAACAACAACGACACCTCTAATCGAAATCCACGCCATGGATCATCATCACAACCTCAACGTTGTTCTAGCCAACGGTCTCCAAGATTATTCCAAGTTCCACGACATGATTAGGCTAATGAATCAAAATGGTGGGGACATAGTCAGCGCGAGCTTCAACCGTTACGGAAATTCGACGATCCAAGTTCTTCAAGATAAGGTCATGATCATCAATTAATTAATAGGTTACGGTGCTAATTTGAAAAATCAGCAACATACTGATTTTCCAAATCATCACACGTAAAATACACAAACAAGACACGTCTTTATTATATATGACATGTGTTGTTTGTTCATAATTACGGCGGCATGTGCTGTATGACAGTATATCATGTGCTAAAATCAAATATTGCATGTGTTGTATGAGACTATATCATGTATTATATTTGTATTACATTAACGTATATTGTGTGTTGTCTATGATAATACCATATGTTATCCGGTAACACACATTGTGTTATTCAGTACAGTGCTGAATCCGCCGCAATTAATTAATTAATTGGGTTCAAATCTTCACATTGAACAAATTGTCTGAATTTTGGAATTTAATTATTTTTTGTCAGGTTGTTGAGTCTGATTCATGCTGCCAAGGCGAGACGACGATGTCGCGAAAGCTGAAGGAATTAGTGTGTGGAGCTTCCGTCGGCGGCAACGAACAATTCGCGGAATCGCGATTGAGTGTATGGGATTATGAAATAGGATCGAACATTTGGGAGTTTGAAATCAAGGATGCATAAAAGACATGAATTTTATATGTACGTATGTATGTAATTGTAACTTGAGAGATTAATACATGTTTTTAATAGTGGATCGAAATAATAAATGGATAAGATACAAATGAATATACATAAGGATGTAATAAGAATCAAAATTATATATAACCCAGAATATAGGTAAAAACAACTTTGTATGTAAATTTAAATAAATATATTCCCTTCGTCCCAGATACCATATCCACGTTGCCGTTTCTGTCCGTCACACATACCATGTCATTTTCTTTTTTTGGAAAATGATTACACACTTTAATCTCATTTTAAATTTTTAAATTTTTCTTTTTTTTTTAATTTTAATTAAACTAATTAGTTATCTTAATCTTAATTTATAATTATTTATATTATAGAATAATTATTTTCACTAATACATTCTTAATTATCTACTAATTACATCCCTCCTAAAATACCGTGTTTACAGTGTAGCAGACACGGTATCTGGGACGGAGGGAGTATAAGACAAGGGAAGGGATTTATATATATGTGAAGGAAGTGTATCCAAATCATCTTAGCCATTTGAATAGAATGTATGATTTCGAAGAAGTTAATATATATATATATAATATTCTAAAAGCATTCGATATCGTTTTTGTTTAATTTTGATCTTTGGTTCTTCTTATAAATAGCCCACCAAAGTTTCATTAACATTAGAATTTTGTTTACTACAAAAATTTATTTATTTATAATTACCTTAAAATTAATTTTATAAAAAATAAGGGATTTTAAATATAAATACATATATTTATTTATTGAAAAAAGATAAAAAATAAAAGAGATTTTGAATGAGTCATATTAAAAATTTAATTAAATTGATTTATATTTATTAAATAAAAATAAGTGAACAGACTGAGTATATTTTTATAGAATATTTTGATGATTGCATAGTAAAAAGAAAATTGAAATCAAACTCTAAATAAATAGAGCTCTTGAAATACCTAAGTTTTAATGATAAGAAATTCGATAGTTAGAAAAGAAAGAAAGAATGTCATTTCTCCCATGCAAATCTTTTACTCCCTCCATCCAAAAAGAAGTATCCATTTGCTTTTTACACGTAGTTTTAGAAATATTAGTATTATATTGGGATATAAGTAGGAATAAAGTATAAATGACTAAAATAACCTTGTTAGTATGTGTGATATAAAGGTAATGACATTTGTGTAATATATTGTAAGTTGTAAGGGTATTTGTAATGTTAGCGATTACTTAGAAAAAAGGAAATGAATACTTTGTTAAAATAAAAAATAGATACTTTGTTATAGGACGGAGGGAGTATACATTTTTTTCTAATTCTTAATTAATATGAATTATTTATGAGTTGGGTCATTTTAATAGTCAATCGATTCGTTGTTAATGGAGAAAGTTAAACGTTGATACCAGTTGAATTTTTTCGTTGGATGATGGGTTAAAAGTAATTTATTTAAATAATATTTAATTTATAATTTTAATATTTCTTCCGCCTATCATAGTTATGCTACTTCTTTTGTTTCAAATAAATTGACCTATGTTAGCGTAGATACGAAAATTTAGATAAAATATAATTATTAAGTAATTAAAAATGTATTAATTAAAATAATTATTGTATAATAAAAATAATTATAAACTAAGATAAAAATAATTAAATACTTTAATTAATATTTAAAAAATTATAAATTATAAAATTTAAAATATAATTAAAATATATAATTATAAAAAAAAAAATGTTAAATTAAGTATGACAGACATAAATACAAAATGAACCATTTATGTGAGATGAAGAAGAGAATACTTTCTTTGTAAATTTACAAAGAAAGATAAACAAAATTTTGAATATATGTAAAGTTATTTAAATAAAATATATATAATATAAATATTATTTTATAAAAGAATAAAATATTATATGATACAAATATATATATAAAACAATATAAATATTTATTTATAATTAACATAAATTAATATTACAAACACTAGAAAAAAAAATTACGAATTAGCAAAAAAAATTTGTGAGAAATTTTATTTCCCTCGCAAACTGTTGTGCGGGAATTTTTTCTCACATCCAAATTAGCAAGCAGATGCGTTTATTTCTTCGCAACTTCCTTCACTAATGGATTTTGCAAGGAAATTTAAATTGAATATCTCTCTTTTAGGTTAATATCATATTCTAAACAAATACAATTTTTTAGATAAAATTGTATAAAATGAATTAATTTCTTCGGAGATATAATGTTATATACTTGAATTTGAGGATTCTTATATAAGAGTAGAACAATATGAAGTCTGATTTTTAATAAGAGTGGAACAAGTTATAACATCATATTGTCCTAATCTTATAATAAGAATCCCCAAATTTAAGTATATAACATTATATTTCCAAAGAAATTAATTCATTTCATACAATTTTATCTAAAAATTTGTATTTGTCTACATAAAAGATTGTGTATTTTAGTATTTTTAATTTGAAAAAATTTTGTTGTGTAGATATAAAAAATAGTACTCCCTCTGTCACAATACAATTTTTTTGTTTATTATTTCTGTCCGTCTCAAAATAATAATCTTATTTTCATAATTAATCATATCACTATAAAACTACTCCTATTTTTTTATTTTTATAACATAATTGCCACTATTTTTTACACTAATACACTTACAAAGTCAAAAAAATCTTTTATTCGTACTTTTTACCAACTATCAATATAATATCAATATTTTTTAAATTTCGTGTTCAACTCAATTAAGACTATAATTTTGAGACGGAGTGAATATTTTTAATATAAAAAAATTATTATTTTGGGTAGCATATAACATACTCCTTTCAGAGTTATATATATATATATATTTTTTTTTGGCTGTATGATAACAATAACAGAGTTATATATATTTTTTTTAAATATCTTTTTATTATAAATTATAAATATCTTTTTAATAGCAGTTATTTATATATATATTATTATTTTACAAATAAAGACAAAAAGATAAATTTGTCTTTTACCTTCAAAATTTACCATCTATTATAGTTATAATACAATATTTATTAATTTTCGGGCTAAAAATAAATATAAGTCTTTTGGCAGTATATTATATATTAGAACCAGTAAAAAATAAATAAATTGTATGAACAAAGTCTTTAATATTTAAAAATTTAGAACAAGCGTATTTATAATATTTTTTTGTCCCAAAAGTATAGTATTGTTGCGTTGGGCATATGATTAAAAAATATTGATATTATATTGGTAGTCGGTAAAAAGTAAAGATAAATGTTTTTTTGTCATTGTGAGTATTAATGTAAAAAATATTGACAATTGTATAATAATAATAAAAAATATGAATAATTTTACAGTAATATGATTATTTATAAAAATAAAATTATTGTTTTATAACGGACAAAAATAGTCAACAAAACTATTGTATCGAGAGTAGGGAATATTTGATAAAACCAGTACTAACATTGCAACTGATCTGCACTGAGGTATATCTATTCAGGCAATAAATTACATTTATTGATTCTACGAATAGCGCTTTTTAGCATTAGATTTTACGACTACATAAAATGTACAGAGCAAAAACGCGTATTGAAAAATGGAACCAAATAATAATAATAATATTATTATTATTATAAATAATTTAGGTTCAATTATTTTCCCACCCACCAATAAGCCTAAATAATTGAGTCATTTTTTGTGTGCGTCAGTCAGGTCAAGATTGTGCTTTTCTGATACAGATTTTTATTTTGGAAGGAACAAAAATCTAATAATGACAGGAGGAAGAGAGATCCTCAACAAGATGAAGGTTTGCTGCTTCGTTTTCGTTTATTTTCTCTCTACGAGATAAGATTTTTTTGGCTTTAACTTCTTCAGAAAGTTTTTGAACTCCATGGCTCCCTTTGTGGCTTGATCTGCAACTTGGAAGATCTATGTGTGGTTTCGTAAATATTTGGTTAGGTTAATGAAATTGAATAAAGTTGATCAATAATCTGATTGTAATTTTTAATGTTTAGAGCACAGAAGAGGTTAAATCGACGGTTGTTGAGCTTCGTTAACGGAAGAACTGTGGGAACAGAAATTGGTTCAAATTTGTGAAAGAGGACCAGAAATGTTACTTATTGCTGATATGTAGATTATCTGTTTTAGGGGAAAATTTTGTGTTAAAGCAATGTTTTTCTTATAGTGACGTTTTGTGAGATTTATTATTGTTGTTGAGGTGTTTATGGTTCATCCTTTAGGATTTGGTGAATCTAAGTTTTTTCTTTTTTCTGATAAATCTGATCAAAATTGATAGAATAGAAATGCTTGATGCCTTGTTAATAATTAGACAAAATAACTTATAACACACATGGTTTGGAAAGTTTGTAAAAAATTGTACGAGACTCTCTGGTTTTCTTTTCAAATATTGTACAGAATTCTATTTTTAAGGATTTTGTGTAATGTTATCAAACTACAGATAGATTATAAGTAATTTTCTCTAATTATTATAATTAAGTGATGGGTAGGAAATAGGAATGAAGCCATTTTCCGAAAAAGGGTGTAGTTAAGTAACTATACGGTGGCTATGCTATCCCGGCCGGGCCATAGTTTGCTCTGTTCTTTTATTTTCTTGCAAATGGTTTTGATTCCTTATCTTGTGTTCTTAGAATATTCGGAAGAAAAAAGAATGTCGCAGTGTTTTTGTGCGAAACAATATGGTTCAATCGCATATGTTTTTGTATATGAGTATGCATTCTTGCTTAAGGGCTTATGTTATCTCATAGTTCACCTTCTTGCTTTATGTTCTTCTTGAAAAAGATTCTTGCTTAAGGGCTTATGTTATCTCATAGTTCACCTTCTTGCTTTATGTTCTTCTTGAAAAAGATTATATGAGATTGATTCTTATGCTATATACGGTTAAGTTGAAAAACCCTCATCACCTATTTTTGCATTATTGACAAATCATCTTTCTGTTGTTGTTGTTGTCAGAACCCATAACAGTCTCATCAAGTTGTATTTATTTGTCTTTCCTAGGATGGTGGTTTCTCAAGACAAAATGGACACTTTGAGTTTGTCCTTTTGTGGTCAGAAGTGTATAGATACACACCATTCCTTTTTTGTACCAAGGAAATTAATTCCGTGTTAGCATAATGGTTGTTGTGGTTGCCTTACTCAGCTCGAGTGGGGAAGTGAAGGAGTGTGGTGGTTTTGAGAGCGTGTGTAGTGAGAGAAAAATTGGCCATTGAATAAGTGTTCGAAAGTATATTGGTGCCGCACTTATTCTTCCCAGCATATACTATTATAAATTAAAAAGAAAATGTGAGTTCGTTTGTGTTTTTATTTTCGATTTTTTCTTATTGAATTTGCCATTTCCTTTTAAAAAAATATATCACATTCAACTACTATTTTTATCTCAAATATATCATTACCAAAAGTACAAAACAAAAATGCAAGTGAACACAATGGTTTGTTTGTTTGTGTTTTTGTATTTTCATATTTTGAGAATGGTGAAAATTTTGAATTTAAATAGTTATTCAAATTTGGTGTAAATAGGTAAAATATATTTTTGACGTAATATATTAAATGAAAATTAATTGTACAATGCCATTTGATGTCTTTAGGAGTAATCTATGAATCATCTGTAGTGGTTTATATGTGGCTTAGCCAGCAATTTCTCCAATTTTCTTCTTTTAATAGTAAACAGAAATAACATTTATTATAGCAGTAGGCGAAAATGTGTGCACTCGAATATGTATAATCCGAAATGGATTGGAAGTAGCTTGCGTTTGCATTGGCTGGCTTGAATCTTTGATCATATTTTTTGGAGAACTTCATTGCATTAGATGTTGCTGCATATCTTGCTACATGATGATCGTAGCTGCGAATTCTGCTTCAAATCTTACATTTGTGACTGTCTGATTTCATACTTGTTTCTGCTTAAACATTATGTGTAATTGGAGAATACATGTGGTTGATGTTTGTGCGGCTCGGGTAGTATTTCATCGCCAAATGTACTTTGCATATATGAAGTTCTTATACTTCCTATTAATCATATAGGAAAAGGCTTGCTTTTCGACTCCAGTCACCCCCGATGCTGGAAAGGGAAAAAGTAAATTCTCGAAGCGCATTTCTCATGGCTTCCATCTTGTGAAGGGAAAAGCAGCTCATGCCATGGAAGACTGTTTGGTTTCTGAATTCAAGATAGTTGACTCGTACGAGTTGGGTCTATTCGCCATTTTCGATGGGCATATGGGACATGATGTCGCGAATTACTTGAAAGAACACTTGTTCGACAATATTCTAAAGCAGGCATGAGTCCCTTAAATCGATGGCACTTTTTACCCTTCTTGTGAAGTTTTTACCTGTCATTAGCTGATTTCATCATCTTTCTGGATATTCTTCAGGACGGATTTTGGACCGATACGGGGAGTGCGCTAAAGAAGGCGTATCAGGCGACAGATAAGGAAATTTTAGAGCAATCGTTTCAGTTGGGAAAAGGCGGGTCGACAGCAGTTACTGCAATATTGATCGACGGACACAAGCTTGTTGTCGCAAATGTTGGTGATTCTCGAGCAATCATCAGTAGGAAAGGCGTCGCTAAGCAACTTTCGATTGATCATGAACCGAGCAAAGAGAAGAAGCTAATCGAGAGCAAGGGTGGCTTTGTATCGAACATTCCCGGTAAGGCGGCAACCACTGTTTTTGGTTTATGAAATCTTGCTGAGATTCTCGAGTATTCTGTGCTATTTATCGACAGTAAATTTTTTTCAAAAATATCTATTTTTTTCTTTTCACAAAACATCACATTAAATGCTAATATTTTTACTATTCTCAAATTTTTTGGCTACAATTTCTTTTACAGGTGATGTCCCTCGAGTCGATGGCCAGCTTGCAGTGGCCCGCGCATTTGGCGACAAGAGCTTGAAGAGACATCTTAGTTCAGAACCTGACGTAGCAGTCGAGATCATGGATGACGATGTTGAGTTGCTCATTTTGGCGAGCGACGGATTGTGGAAGGTGAGAGAGATCGTCTCAAATTTGCTCTTAACATTTTCTCGATCTTGTTTACATACACGATCATCATCATCATCGTCTCGTGTTGATAAATAATAGGTGATGTCGAACCAAGAGGCTGTCGACTCGATCAAGAACATCAAAGATCCAGAATCAGCTGCAAAGCATCTGATTGAGATGGCGGTGTCGAGGAAGAGCAAAGACGATATCTCTTGCATCGTCGTCAGGATTCATTGATCGATCTTGTGTAATTGTCGACATATTTCTTTCTGTGTTGTGTTTGTTTAGGGTAACATTTATATATATATATATATATATATGTATGGCCTAGTGTAAATTTCTGCAAACCTTCAAAATGTGGAATCAATCGCCATGAATATGTTTTAGTTACATTAAAGTATGTGCATGTGTAGCCAATGCAGCAATTTTTCAAGCATATGTTGGCTGTCTTTTTTTCTGTTTTTTTTTTTTTTTTTTTTTTTTTTGTTTTATTTAATTACACTAGGCATTATAAATATGGTTGTTTTGTTTCTGGAACCGAGATATATAAAAAAATTTATTATTTCTAAATTCTTTGAAACTTCAAAACTTTCAAAATTGTTTTATTGACTGGGCCTAAATATCGGAGACGAAACCCATGAAACAAACATTAGTAAAAAAAAAAAAAGGAGCCAGGGGTTGATGCAAATTCATCATATAAACATTTCGGCATACATATATAGCAAGCAAATAGTACACGACAATATTACTTACAATACATCGTTTATATTAATCTAATACAACCACAACATATAACTAACAGTAAACAGATAGCTAGCAAACAACACACGGTAATGTTAGTGACAGCACAACCATTTATATTCATATAATACAAATGCAATATATGAACTAACAACACATGATATAGTCTCACATAGAACATGATCAGTTCATTTCAGTACATGAGATACACTTGTACAGCACACTTGTAATTATAAACAAAAAACACATGTCATTATTACAAACAACACGTGCTATTTTTAATAAAGATATATGTTTTTAATTTTAAGAGTGCTCAAATTAGCACCGTAACCTTCCCAAAAAATTCCATATATTATAAGTAAATGCTTTAGTGATTATATAAGATTAAAAATTTGGTCTGCGGACAATCCCTTCTAAACTCAGCCCACTTAAATATAATTTTGAAATTGGTCATATGCCAACCCATACCCATTTTGGTAGCTTTAGAATCAAGATTCAATTAGAAATAATCAATACTCAATTTTTGCCATACAATATCACAATTTTTTATATGTAAAAAAAAAAAAAAAAAATGATACATTTTTTACTTGTATATTTTATTCGACTTTTTTACTCCTAGTCTCTTAAAATTCTCCAAAATATTACAATTAGAGGCGGATCTAAATGTAAGGTTAAGGGTAGAGCTAGCAAAAATTGACCCGACACGATAACCTGATACGATCCGATACGAAATAATTGAGTTTGGATCAAATATTTCAACATGTTTATGTATACGAGTTGACACGAACCCGACACGATAATAAACAGGTCGGGTTAGGGTTGAGGCTTTCAACTCGAATCCGACACGACAACCTCATTATAATATATTAATATTGATTAATATATTTATTATATATGTAAAATAATCATAATTTAATAATTTTCTCATAAATTAATTTAAACTAAGTTCAATTTTAAATCATTCAATCTAATTTACACTCAAACCAATAAAAACTAACATAATACGACAACATAACAAAAAATTATTTAATTTGAATCAAGAAATTCGACTTAATTATGTATACTGGTCAACACGAGTCAACCCGAACCCGACACGATAATAAACGGGTTAACACGAACCCGACACGATAATAAACGGATCGGATTAGGATTGAATAATTTAACCCGTTTAAAATATTCAACCCGATATAAATCGACTTATTGTCAGCTTTAGCGAAGGGGCAGCCTCCATCCCTCAAAATATTTTTTCTTAGTGTAAAATATATAAATATTTTTATACATAACTATATGATAAATTGCTCCCTTTAATGGTAAGTTTAACACCCTACTATTTTTCTATTTTTTTTTTTTTTTTTCTTTCATCCATTTTTTATGTGTCAAGAAACATTGAAGTATGAATCATCGAATTGGTAGAAGTGAATCCGCTCGAACGCTGATTCCAAAATCAATATTTAATAATAATAAAAAAAAAAAATTGATTCGCTTTTTGGGGTGTGATTCCTTGTAATTTATGAATTAATTTGGTCTATATTTTGATGGAAAAAGATATCGAATAATTAAATAAATAATTAATTAATATATGGAGATAGTTAAGGCGGCGGCAGAAACGCGTAGAGGGCGGCTAGCGGCGGACACGTTCCGCTGTCCTTGGCTTACATCAGGATATTTGTGGGCCCCACTCTTCATCTTTATTATTATTATTATTATTATTATTATTTTATTCTATCGTGTATGTATAATGTATGTCTTGTCTTTTGTCTGAGGCACACACCTGTCAAATGACACGCCAAACTAAACCGGGATGGTTAGAATTCGGGTTTATTCAACTCAGTACTACGCATTAAACAAGTACATATTGCGTGTGTTTGTTTGGCCATTTGCGCTCTGGTTACACAATATATCATCGTTTATTTGATACTATTTATTTTTTAAAAAAATATTATATCAAATATATTTTTTTTAATAAAATTTTAAATTAAATACTAACTTATTATTAGTACGTGACTACTTTGACTATAATAAAATAAATAAATACTTTTAAGTTGGATATACGAAAATAATAAAAATATTTTTAGTTAATACGAAAAAACTGTGTAAATGTATTGCATAGATATATATATTTTTGTGCTGAAAATAATTATTGTATTTGTTATGTAAAATTTTGGGGTGTGTTTATTTATTTTTATATTTAAATTATTATTACGTACTATCTCTGTCTGGTTTTAACGATCTCATTTATTTTGTGTATATTGATATTTGAATATTAATTATTATATCAAAATGTAGTATAAATTAAGAAAAAGTTGCAAAAATATTTCCATTAGTTTCTTACAATACTAATAAAATGTCATTTGGACAAAAAATTATACAAATATAAAGATATTTTTAAAGTTAAATATAATATTTTTCAATAAAAAGATTAAAGTAATAAATATAGCAATGACAATAGTATTATAATATTATTATTTTTAATTATTTACTTTAAAAGTAAAAATAGTGAAATGATAGACGAGTGCACACTTTGAATTGTTAACAATGTGATTGCTCGAGTTTTAAATATTTCAAAAATCATAATAAAGAAAAAAAAAATTATAGTAAATAACACCTTTATTCAGTCACTGTTATTTTCATTTGATATGCACCTATATGTTTATTCATATATTTATAAAAATGTATTTATGTTAAACCAAAAGATATTGAAGCAGTAGAATAAAAGATAATTGACTAATATATTTATTATACTATCAAAAGTGCATTTTATATTTATAAAGTTTGTTTTACAATTTTGTTTCTTTGTGTATGTCCATCATATTCTATTTATCTTTTAGAATTAATAAAATCATTTTTTCTATTTCTCTTTCTTTTTTCGCTTTAATCGTCACATGGTATCAGAGTGAGTACGTTTCTTATTGTAATTAATTTTTTCGTCATGTGTATCGATTCTTTTGATATTACTCCCTCATCTCTCGTACGAGCTCCGGCGTAGTCCATTTGATCGGAATTCATCATCAGTGATAGTGATCAATTAGGTCTTTCTCGCGCGTATCAGTTCAGCTGGATTCCAACAATTGGATTGCCTAGAAAGTTGTTATATAAGCTGCCCTAAGCTGTAAAATCAAAGATAATTTCATTAATGGTTGAATTTTACTATTGTCAAGTTCACATCCAGATTTGAAGTACTGGAAACGTGCTATTAACCTGGTATTATCTTGGTTGAAAAACTCGATTGATCCTGCTATTGTAAGGTCATTTGTGCTTATATCTACAACTAGAGATCTTTAGCTTGAGATCGAGGACATATTTCGTCAATTACTAGCCCTCAGATCCTTCTTTCAAAGAAGAAAATTTATGACCTAACACAAGGTAACTCTACGGTTACTGAGTATTTTAGTAATTCGAAATCACTATAGAGTGATTTTAGAGTTGCCATGCCATTTTCTAAATGCAATGATCTATATACATTGAAAATTTTGAAACTAAATGATGTCAATATGTTGTTACATTTTTTTTATGGGTTTAAATTATATTTTTTAGCATGTTTGCACCCAAGTGATGATGATGAATCATTTTCCATTTATATGCAAAGTATATGGTATGATGTGTAATGTTGAGATGCAAGAAAAAAACTATGAGTAATACTCATCAAGTTGAACATGTTTTGGTTATTATTGCTGTTAAAAGTGGTCCAAAGCTAAAGACTATGAAAATAAGACAGAATTCTATTATAGTTTGTGCTCATTGTAAGTGGACTAGTCATTTAAAGGAAATTTGTTTTAAGTTGTATGGAGAACTAAATTGGTATAGAGATGATGTAGAAAAGAAACGGTAAAATAGTAACTAATGTTTCTGTTTGAGCAATAGCTTCATCTCCAAATTATCTCACTGAAGAACGATTTGAGGAATTGTTTAGGAAGATTATGGAAGGAATATGTTCTCAATCTTCTGTGAATTTTGTTGTTAGTGCCTTCACCTATGCAGATATATTTATAGTAAACCCATTGAGTGTTATCGAGTGAATAATGGACATAGGTGCCTCTTGTCATCTGTGTTCCATTTTGTCCTCATGACATATACAAAGTCTGTTGATACACCTAATGCTATACTTTTGCCATATACTTCATCTAAAATGTGAAAATTTACTAGAAATCTTTTGTTAAACTCATATGTAGAGATTACAGGGGTGTTTTATATACCTGATTTGATTTCTAATCTTGTCTCTATCATCAAACTTATTATGGATCTTAAATATAAAATGATATTTGACTCCAAGCATTTTCTATTGTAGGATTTGAAAACTAGACAAACTCTGCTTGTGGCTTTTCTAAATTCCACTTTATATCTTTATGATACAGTTTTACATAATAATGTGACTTTATCATTATTATATAAAGATGAGACAAACTCAGTGTTATGACATTGTAAGCTTGATCATCCTTCTTGGACGGTTATGAAACATATCAGAATTCATTTTTCTGCTATTAAAAAGAGTACTCCATATGATACTTGTTCTAGTTATAAATTCCTCTTACTTTTTAATGAAAGTGACTCTCGTGCTAGTGCTTTATTTGATCTGGTGTATATGGATCTTTGGGGTCTATTTTCTCATCTCAGCACTACAAATGTTACATATATGCTAATCATTGTTGATGACTATTCCAGGGAAGCTTGGGAGTAGTTTTTTATATACAAATCTAAAACAATAACGATACTTATCAAGTTCTTCACTCATGTTAAAAATCAATTGTGCAGAAAGGTTAAGGTGGTAAGGATTGACAATGGGACATAGTTTTGCAATCGTAACTATGAATAACTCTTCATCAAAGTTGAGAGGAACCGCATATATTTTATTGAAGTGACTAAAAGCTTGTTGTATCATTCAAATATTCCTAAATTTTATTGGAATAAAGCCATCTTGACAGCAATATATCTAATCAACAGAACTCATTCTAGAAAATTGGGGTAGAAGTCACCTTATTCTTTGATTTGCCAAGGACCCTAACTTAAGCAATCTACATGTCTTTGGTTGCTTGTGTTTTACGAAAGATTACAGTTCTAAGTTGAGAACACTTGATCCTAGAGAAGTTAAATGGATCTTCTTGGGCTACAACAACACACAAAAGGGGTATAAGATTCTTGATTGCGTCTTTCATAAGATATGTATTTCACAGGATGTGCTATTTCATTATTCAATTTATCCCTTCTTGAATAATTCTTAAGATGAGGCTTCCACTCTTAAACACTGAGTTTTCTCTTCCAATAATACCTCTTAACCCTCATGAATCAATATTTCTTCATGTTGTAGTAGAATATCCTCTTATGGTTGCTGATCGTGATGCACCATCATTTGATTCTCTTAATGGTTATTTGTCAGTCAGTCAATCATATCATTTTCTATCTGCTAATGATTAAGGACCATTATGCAAATATGAGAGGATAAAAAAATTACCTACAAAATTTTAAGATTATGTAATGCAAGTTGTTTAATCTACCCTGCCCCGCAATTACACTAAAGTATGTAAATATGCAGTTTAGTAGCGAGCAATGGATGAAGAACTTAATGCCCTTATATCAAATCACACCTGAAAATTGGTTAAAACTTTTGGATCCAAGAAACCAATTGGTTGTCGATTGATTTAAAGGATAAAGTACAATCCATATAACATAGTAAACAAATATAAGATTTGAATTGTAGCGGAGGAACTCAAAAGTATGAAAAATATTTTCACGACTTATTTGCTCATGTTGCAAAGAATGTTATAGTTATACTATATTTTATTTTCTTTTGAGAATTAGTAAAATCATTTTTTCTATTTATTTCTCTTTTCGGTTTTTAATTAACGGATAAATACATCCATAATAAAGTGAGTAGGTTTTAGTAATTTTTGTTTTGAATAACTTTATTAATTACTTCCTTCATTCGGGATATAATATTACAAAAATTGTAAAAATAAAAATTTAAGCGAAGTATACTTAATAATAATTAAGGATGTATCAGTAAAATGAATTGCAATATAATACAAATAATTATACTTCCTCCGTCCATAAGAAAGATACAATTTTTTATTTTTGTTCGTCCCGAAATAAGGGTATCATTTTCTAATTTAGTAATTGTACTACATACCTAACATAATAAATATCTTTACCACTTATAATATAATATACAAATATTATTACTTTTATATTACATCATAATAATAGGGTCATTTTTGTCTTTTTTACTACAAACTAATATAATATTAGTATTAAAAAATTTAAGTGCAAAAAATAAATGATAATTTTATTGCAGGACAGATGTAGTATATTAAAATTTAAATGACTAATTAAAATTATAAATCATAAATTTAATATTTTATTATAGCATATAATTATTTTTTAAAAAAGAAAAAATAACATGAAATGAAATAGATATAAATAAAAACTGTGACATAATATGTGAAATAGATGGAGTATATAAATGTAAAACTCTTATTTGCAAGCCACTATGCCGGACATTTCGGATAAGACTAACTCTACAGATCAACATAACTCTTTCAATCACTATTGTCCTCACTCACACGCATTTTAAGAGACTTCTCTACGGTCTAGAGTTCTCTTACGTGGGTTTCGAAAAAAAAAAATATATATACATGCACATTATCGACATAAATAGTCTATTCAATTTTTTTAAATCACTTATCGACATCGAAATATCACATCTTCTTTGACTTATCTCTATTCAACTATGTGGTATCACTATAAAAGAGAAAATTATTTCTAATTAGTGTGTTTGTTTGGGGGTTTGAATTTTGAGTTTAAATTTGAATAGTAAAAATTTTGAATTGGAATAGTTGTATGATGTTATATAAATATGTGCTGATATAATATTTTGAATATAAAAATAATTTTTAGTATAATATAAAAAATAAAAAATAGGTGTTTAATTCGATATTTTTTAGAATAAAAATTAGATAAGTAATGAATTTGAAGGAAAATACTACGAACAAACACCCCCTAACTAAACAATTTTAAAATAATATAAATTAAAAAATAATAAAAAACTTGGGCAAAATTATTCTTTCATATACATATATTTTCTACATATTTGCGTTATATTTTGTATTATATTAAAATATTATAGATATTTCTAAAATATGACTAATATATTACACCATATTACATTAATATTACAAATATAATTTCAAAATCTATGCCGGACAAAAATAAGCTAATAATAATAATAATAATAATTTAAAATGCACAAATAAAAAACAATACATAAATAGTATGTCCGTCCGCATCGAAATCATCGCGAAACGACGGCCGCAAAAAATGTTATAATAGCCGGCACAATTGCGCCTCGGGCGTCCTTGTCTTGTCCCTTTTGCACGCGTCACCCTCCCCCACGCCCCGTGCACTTCACGCGCCCGTAAACCAATCCCCTGCCTACGAAACCGCACACAAATTCCTACACCCTTCCCACACTCTTCCTGTCTCCTTCGGCGCGGCGCGGCGCGGCGCAGTCAAACCTCTCGTTGACCACGCCCTACCCTACCCTACCCTACCCACCCTATATAAATACCCCATTATACTGCGGTCCTTCCCCTTCCCTCATTCCCACCCCAATTTATTACCTCGCCCCTTCTTATTTTTTTTTTCGGTAATAATAAAATCATTTTCATTTCTGCTGTATATTTGGATAAATCAAATGACGAAGGAGAGGGAGAGAGAAAGGGCTACCGCCGGCAGGGAGGCGCACTATAGAGGCGTACGGAAGCGGCCTTGGGGGCGGTACGCGGCGGAGATACGCGACCCGGGGAAGAAAAGCCGGGTCTGGCTCGGGACCTTCGACACCGCGGAAGAGGCGGCGCGTGCATACGACGCGGCGGCGCGGGAGTTCCGTGGGGCGAAGGCCAAGACTAATTTCCCTCTACCTTTCGACTCTGCCGCCGCCGCCGCCGCCGCGGCGGAGGCGGCGCGCGGCAGCCCCAGCCAGAGCAGCACCGTCGAGTCCTCCAGCGCCGACCGCGGCCCCGTCGAGCTCGATCTCACGCGCCGCCTCGGCGCGTCCACCGACGTCAGCGGCTTTCTGAATACCGTCAATGGGTATGGCCACGTGTTCCGCCGTCAACCGACTGTTGCGGTCTTGCCTAACGGCCAGCCGGTTTATTTCTTCGAACCGGCCGTGCATCCGATGGCGGCTTTCCGGATGAACCGGGTCGATATCGGCGGTGGCGGCGCGGTGCAGGGAGAATCGGACACGTCGTCGGTGGTGGATGAGAATAATTTCGAGGGCTCTGATGGTAAGAGAGGTGTCGGGTTTGATCTGAATCTTCCGCCGCCGGTGGAATCTTGACTGTCTCCGGTCGACCGGAGGATTAAACGGCGGTTGAAGTGATTTTGTAAATATTATTGGAAGGGGCTTAGATTCTAATTTTTTGCAGCTCGGAGGAATTTCTCTAGTTGTTACAGTGATGATTGTACTATTGATTTCGGCATTAGATGAAAGAAGACGACGGGAAGTCTTTTGATTTACTTAATTTCGATTACTCCAGATCCGATTTCCGATATTGAACTTGCCACGTGCGTGGCACGTGGTTTAAAGCCAGATTAATTTGAATGTCTTTTTTATCGGCCTGTAATGTATTGTCATGTAACGTTGCTGTAAAATTTTAGCTTTTATTGTTTTGAAAATCTATAATAGACAAAACCTCAACCATAGACCAGTCAAATTTTATTTCAACATTTTCTTTTTACTTCAATATGTATATGTATTTTCCCCAGACGTCAGATCCAATAGTGGGGTGTACACGTGGTTTTCTATATTTAAATTATTTTGGATTTATAAAAGTTCAAATATAACACTTTAGGATGGGATTACAAATAGAAAATGAAATAATTAATTAAAATTACAATTAGAATGAAATTTAAATAATAAATTAGACTGTACAGTAGTACAAAATAAATATAGAACCGCATGCAATACAAGTGGTCAAAAAAATTTTCTTTTAAAAAAAAGATGGGAGGCGCCGACAGAGTGACGGCTGTCTTGATAGTGGTGGGGCCTACGAAAGACCTCTAATTCCGCGTTGACAGGACACGTGTCAGAGCCACGTGTAGCTTATGCTTTAAGCCTGCCCGCCCGCCCGCCCGAACCCCACCTACCTCAATTATTTCGATTTGATTTGTTTTTTTTTTTTTTTTTTTAATATAAATCAATTAAATAAAATATAAAGAAAATTTTATTTGAATTTGAATTGGATTCTAATTTGGGTTATTTCAACAATAGTGAATGAGCTGTAGATTCGACGAGGGATTGTACTTGTGGGTAGAGTTATTTGTTCAGTTGTTATTTAAGCTTTTTTTTTTTTTTTGGAATTTTGATTTAGTAAAAATTATATCATTTTTTATATATATTTTTTACTATATTGTGTGTTAGTAATCGTCATTTTGTAATTGTGGCACAACTTATGTAGTTGCATTGTTGTCTTTTGTAGTCAATTGTGACATTTGATTTGTTACCCTTTTGAATAAAATGGGCTCTTTCTTGAGTGGCATATTGGTACTTGTTCACAACTTCATCGATATAATATGATTATATTATTGTGAATATGTACACTAATTTTTAGATAGATGATTAGTTCATACAATATTAATTGAAGTTCCTTCAATTAAAATAAAATAATTGACACACTTCATTTATACAATTACACCAAATGGAAAAAACAGTTAATACACTTCACTTAGGACATGATATAAAATATTTAAGTTTGGTTATCGACAAATCAATTTCATATTGATTTTTTAGAATAGTATTGATTAAGAGTTCGGAAAATACCAATAAAGAGTTTAAATAATACATTATTTATATCAATATAATATAAATAAAATAAAAATACTAAGAACACATAACACAAATACAGTACAAATACAACACAAGTACTAAGAAAGTAATAAGAACACAATCAATATAGCTCACAATCATCAAGGATGAATCAGAATTTAATCGACCAAATAGCAAACTACGCAAAGTAATTCCCGGGCCTTTTAATAATATTTTTAAAAAATTAATTATAAATATCTAAATAAATAATTCAAAAAAAAAAATTGCTAGTTTTTTCTTTATCAAAATATTTTCAAATTTTACTATTTCAATTTTATTTTCTCTCACAAAATATTTCATCAAATATTATTTAAATACAAAATTTAAACCAAATTTTCTCAAATCAAATTCAAAGAAACACACCCTATTCTTTGGGTTTGGTTACAAAATTTAATTTAGATTTTTTATTTAATAGAATATTTTGTAAGAAAAAATATTTTCTGTTCAAAAATTTAAAATTGAAATGATGAAATTTGAAAAAGCTTTTGTTAAAGAAACACATGGCTATTAAGTTTTAAAATTATTGTCAAATATGATCATGAATTAAATTTCATTTTCTACCATTGTCTCTACCCAATGAATAATAGTATTGTATTAATTAGTAAAAATGTGTAAGAAAGATTTGACATTTTTGTCATTTAATAGTATTCTATACTAATGTATATGATTACTTAAAATTGATACTTTAAAATGAAACGGACGAAAATTGTATAATGAGTACTTTGAAATAAGACGGAGGAAGTATAATTTATTTTTTGCTCACCGATAAAAAAAAAAACCAAGCAGTTAGACACTAAATATTTTGTTCTTATTTAGCCTATGTAAGATTTCATATATATCTTGTTTAAGGTTCAGGGTGTAGGTGGTATATAAATACCTAAATGTTAATTTAACAAAATTATACATATTTAAACCAAAGTTTATAAATGAAAATGTTAATTTTGAACCTTATGCACTCAAAATTTTACTCAAAGAATGTGAAAACTAGTACATTAACAATTATGCCATTTTTTGAATGTTTACCTAAAATTGGGAAAAAAATTATTTTTTGTTTTATTGTAAACTATAATAATCAATTTTAGTTCCATTGCATTTTTTATTTTTTTTGTCTATTTGGGTCTCGTTCAAATTAAATTTAATTAATTTTAAGGACATAATAACTAATACGGACTGAACACGGTCATATTGACTTGAACATTGCAGTATTAAATTACTTAGAAAGCTTATCAAACTTTCTAAACAGGCAACGCAGTTGTGTTGCCGTGTTTGAATATGACCATGTTTGAACACGACCATATTGAAGGCTATGTTTACTAACATGTTTCTAATATTGCGTATTGAAGATCATGTTGAATGTCTTGTTTTTATCATTAACGTATTAAATGTCATGTTTACTGTCCTATTTCTAATATGATCATGTTCACGTCTTATTTCTAATATAATCATTTTAATCTGTCATATTCATCACTCTATTTAGTCTGATTACTATATATTCCCCCGTCCCACTTACCGTATCTCCTTTTTTATTTTCGTGTGTCCCACTTATTCTGTCATTTTTCATTTTTGAAAAGGTATTATACACTTATTCCGGTGTCTACAACAAAATGACACGATATATGGAACGGCGGGAGTATATTAATAATTCAACTAAAATGCTTTTCATAATTATTTTTAAAAAATCATCAAAATTTGGTATTTTAAATTTTGATTGCAAAATAATAATAATTATTATTATTATTATAGTAGGAAAATTATAAATAATTGATTTCTTGCATGTCCACTAACAACATGAGATCATCCCCGTAAAGTACTGCAACGCTATTCCAAATCGACAACATGAAAGTAAACATGGGAAGAAACGAAGCTGCACGAATATAGCCACTAATTACGCCACAATATTACATGCAGACTTTAATTTATCATCAATTGGCTGCTGATTATACGATCATTCATCCATGGCAGAAAACTTTCATTTTCACATTTAAAATCTCAATTTCAAATTCATCCATCTCAAAAATATGGAATTTAATTTCAGTGTAGATTCCCAGAACTAAGCTGCATCCAATTCCAGCCACATTATACAAATACACGTACGTATAATCAAAGTTCTCCCCGACAAATCTAAACTAAAAAAGGATTCAGACGCATATACGACGAGAAACCGATCGAAACTGCAACGTCGTCATCTTCACAAGATTTCACCTTAACCAGCTAACTTTGCGTGCACAGTCGACTCAAGTAACGAATTTGAGAAGGAAGCGCACCTTGAACTCTCGCCAGCCTACACGAATGCTCGGTGAACAGCTTGTACGTCGACTTCCTCTCCCAAGGAACAATCCCAAAGTCGTCATTAAACTCTTCCATCCCCTCCACGAGGAACTGCCACACTAAAGATCCGGCGCCCGCCTTTTTTTTCACGGCAGATTTGTACATGATGTCGAGGATGACTTTGTAAAACCTGTCGCGTTGCTCGGGGGTGAAGTCTTTGTTCTCCGTGGACAATCCGAATTCGGTAAACATGACGGGCTTTTTCAGTTCTTTGTCTCCATCTTCGATGTGGGATATCATCCACTTGGCGACGAATTTCAACTTATACTCGAAATTTGGATTGTGGGTCCTGCAAAAGAGATTGATATATCGACACATATTAGATGATGATGATGATGATAAATTGGGATGGTGTAGAGCTAGCTCACCAATGATCGGGGTAAATATGAACCGATGCAAAGTCAATAGTTGGAATTTTCGAATTGCGAATAAAATCAGTGCCGACATCAGCTGCCCACCACTCGGGATTGACGGTTAATCTTTTAGTGCTTTTAGGTCCGTAAAAGCCTTCGAGCCCCACCGTTACTAAATGATTGGGGTCGATAGATTTCACAAAAGTTGACATTTCCTCGATCCAATCCTGCAGTTATTTTAAGCAGTCAATTTTCGAAACATGGATTCTCAAACATCAATAATCTATTTAGGGCTTACTTACTGGCTCGGTGAAATTGAAACCTTGTGGGTGAATTAGCTGTTTACCTGTAGTGTGTCGCCGGATTTGTCAGTTATACAACGGGGCTCGTTGATCAACTCCCAGCCTAAGATGGTTGGATCATCCCTATACTCGAGTCCAGTCAATGTGTTCCGCCTTGTTAGAACAGTCTGCCAAATAAGCATTCGGTGAATCTTCACTCCATCAGATTATAATGAAGAATCGGAAAAACTATTCCAATAAACAATGCAACAACAAACTGCACGAAAATTGCTATAAGTAAAACATAAGAAAATCACTGTGATAAGCCTCACTATGCTTCTTAACTCAAAGAGTTAAAAATGGTAAGAAATTAGTATCTGAAGTAAAACAACCGCGGGGGACAACATTGATCGAACAAAACCAACTCACTTTACATGCATACTCTCACACCAGCCCAGGAATGCCGGCATTCTTACGGTACTAAATAAAACATCGACAAAAAAAGTAATAATAATAATTCATCTTGTGACCAAGAACATTATCTCTAATGTCGTAAGGTTTGTTAATTTTAACCCAAATCATCAATCATCTTGCACAGCTTATACATTTGGTGCTCTAAGACCACCAGCATGAAGAAATCCTCTGCGAGTTTCTCATCACTTCCATGTCACACTCTCTTTCATCCACATCACACTTTCTTTCTTCGAATCTAAATAAAAAAATACATATATATTTATATTAATATGATTTATTTTTAAAATTAAATTTTAATAAAAATATATAAATGAGTATCATTGTCTAAAGAATAAAATTTTATATAATACAAAAATATAAAAAAATAAAATAAATACCCTCCGTCCGCCTAGGGTTTAGGGTCACATTTACTTTTAGGTCATTGTACTTAACATTAAAAATATTTTTATATTTGTATAATTTTTTGTAAAATGTCATTCTATTAGTATTATAAGATATTCATTGAAGTAGTTTTACAGTTTTTTATTAATTTGTACTATTAATATAATAATTAATATTCAAAAATCAACAAGCAAAAAAATAAATGGACCCCCTAGAGCCGGATGAAGATAGTATGTTATAAATAAATTCAAATAAGTTTTTTTTTTTTTTTTTTAAATTGTAAAAATGGTGACATGGAAAAGAGAGTGAGTTTCACCGGGATGGAGAAACTACCGATTAGGCTTCCCTAAGGCAACTAATATATTTAGTTTTCTATTTTGAGTTGAAGATACATGGCAAGAATTGCTTTTGCAATAAAATTGTAGTATGCTGAAAACTAGAAAAATGTACAAGTTTCTCAAGAAATAAAATCTAATATAAGATTCCGATAAAAAAAAAAAAAAATCTAATGTGAGATATCTCAATAAAAGAAGAGTGTTTCCGAAGGACTTATATATTTTTTCAAGCATCAAGTGGAAAATTGAAAGCCTCGCAAGTTAGTTTACTCTTTCAGTATTAAGTCTCAGTTAGCATTTCAGAAAATTCCCAAAATGTGCTTCACCACAATCATGCCGACTCGATCATTACATTTCCTTTTACTGGAAAAAAGACTTTATCACTTCAACTTTCTAAATTATAGGTGTCAAATGATAAAATTAGAGTCAACTAACATATCTAAAATCAACAAAAATGGAACAGCAAATAAGGCAAAGAGGCTTCCATTGACTGGTTTGAAGGGAAGCAAGATCAAGAAAGTTGCTCGATAATACGATGCCAACAAACACAGCCTGCTTACGAGCTTCGTCCCTTCTCCAAAAACTATGTACACGTTTACGGCCATCAATGTTTTACCAACCAAATATAGAACATTAAATAGCTTTTGCCTTCTCACAAATACAAATTTGGATTTAGAGAAAATAACAATAATTATCGGCTAGGGGTTTGCTAATACTCATATTAAGATGGTCAAGACATGATTATCCATGATCTTCAAAAATTGTAGGCTATATTATGTAGAAACATTAGAGAAAACAACAATAATTATCGGCTAGGGGTTTGCTAATACTCATATTAAGATGGTCAAGACATATTTATCCATGATCTTCAAAAATTGTAGGCTATATGATGTAGAGACACGAAGATATTTTATTCCTAAATAAGGAAAAAGATAATCCGAAATTGCAGGGTCATGTAATGCAGACTTATTCGCATGCTAGCCGAAACGCATTTAATAGAAACGTTACCTTAACATAATTCTTAAAATAGCGCCGCACTGACGGGTCATAAAAGAACGAATCATTCGAAGAACTCAAAGCAACACCTTCTTCCCACGCCCACTTTACGTATTGAGTCTTTCCTCCGTATGCTTGCAAGTTATTAACTAAGCACAACAATAGTCTTACACCATGTAACCTTGCTTCTGCAATAACATGATCCAGTGCCTGCAATGCAAAAACATGCACCACTAGTTCAAAAATCGACAAAATAGGACTGAACAATCAAAAAAGAACTGTACTTGCCCATAATCTAATGAACCAATATCACTTTGATCACATACAATCAATTCTAGATTAACATTATCTTTTACTCACACCTCTTTTGATTAAAAACATACACGAAAAGAACGCTATAGTTTCGAGTAATTCTTGGGATTGGATAATATTTTGAATCTTCCACCGATTGCACAGAGAAACAACATTCACATCAACTAAACACTAAAACAATCATCAAACAGACAAGAATTTTTAAAAAAAAAGGTAAGAAAGGAAAACAGTTTAGCTTACTCTGAAGACTCTTTCATTGAATCTACCAGGAGAAGTTTGGAGAGCATTGTAATCACCATCATTGAACGCCCAAGTTCTGCAAACAGTAAGACCCATTTTGGCACCAGTTTTGAATATCGACCTGACTCTATGTTTGGTAGAGAAATCGACGGAATGGTCCATCATCCAGTAGGAATTCCATCCATTAAAGTAGAAAGGCTTCCCATCCACTATAAGCTGAGTTCCATTCCTCTCCACAAAGCTCAGGTTCAAATCAGCATTCATGTCGATCCACAAATCCCCAAAAGATAAGTATATAAAAGCCACACACGACGCGAATCCAACAATGGGGTAGAACACCCCATTCCCACACAACATTCTGCTCTTAACCATCAATCGTCGATCGACAAAGAGTATAACTGTATCAGACAGAATAAAGGATTATACGAAGTATAAATAAATAAACAACATATATATATATATATCCCTTTCCCAGCCCCAAAATCGAATCGAGAGCGAGCTAGCTAGCGCAGCAAAGGGCAATAAATGCAGACGCGAGTCCCGATTGAAATTGGATCTATACGACGACCTTCAGAAGGTATGGCTACCGGAAAACGACAAAAACATTCAAGGCCAAGTCAGATCCCCTTCTGCGAGGGTTTCGAAAAATCAGTTGAAAGGATGACAAATTGAATCCGAGAAACGCCCAATGAGGGGCTTCGAATTTTTCTGAATTGACCACAATGGAAACAGCGTCACGGCGGTTATTGCAAAAGAGTCGCAGCCGCCGCGGGTTTGCGCAACCAATCACTGCACAATAATGCCAAAATCGGAGATAATCTGACGCCGACGGTTGAGATGAAAGTGGATGGCGAGACTGAGAGCAAACCAGGGCCCAAATTAAAGGGCGAGGGAGAGAGAAAGAAGGCCTAATATTGGGACACCGAAGAAGGCGACTGTAGTAACAAAGGAAACTCGGCAGCCATTTTTATTCTACACGAAAGGTGTTGAATGCGGGGTTGAGATCTCCCATCTTGAAGTCATTATTTCAGACTTTCTTCAACTAAATTACAATAATTAGAGACATGGGCCATCTTCTTCTTCTTCCTGCTTGTTCTCTCTCTCTCTCTCTCTCTCTCTCTCTCTCCTCTATTTGCTATGAAATTATTTCTGTCATTTCCAAGCTCATACAATTATTAAATAATTTTTTGTCTTAAGGGTCGGTTCTTTTTACCTTTATTTATCTGTTACTGTTTCTTGATGACCCTTCATCACTCACACATATAAATTTTATTTTATTTTTTATTTCAAGAAAGAAAAGATGCCCTGGAATGACTGAGAAATCTTCCTGGATACAAATATTTCAGGTCTACTGGGCCCATTATGATTATGCTAAATTAGGTTTAATGTAATCATCTTTAGTGTTGAAGATTTTTCTTCAAGTATTCATTTCCCCGTGTGAATAAAATAAAGTGCATTCTTTCTTTTTTTTTCATTTTTTTATCATTTCATTCTAAATGAATATGAACCATCACGGATCAAATTTGATTAAAAAATGGTAATAAATAAACTATAAATCAATTTATTACGAAGAAGAGTTCCAACAAGAATCTTCCTGCGTGAATCAAGGACAATTAGGCCATATTACATATTTTATTATTCTTTCACTCCCAACATTTTAGGACAATTTGTTTGCTTGCTTGCCTTAGTTTAAATTCGTTAAAAATTTGTTCAGGTAAGTTAAATGAATCAGAAATAAACATAAATTTTGATTCATTATATTCACGAGTGAGTTCGAATTTGTTCACAAATGTTTCATAGTACTTGTTAAAAAAAATAAATTAATATTTTTATATTCAATAAATATATATATATCTTTATAAATATTATATTTTTTCGTCTATTAAAATTAGTCTATTTGAATCCGATGTAAAAATAAAAAAAAAATTAATATTTTATTAAAAAAGTAACAAATATAAAAAGATAATTAGAGTATGCACATGATGTTTTGTATAAAAAAAAAATTAAATTTTTTTTAAAAAAAAAAAACTATTTGTTTCAATATAATATTTTATATAAATTTATTATATTTAATATTCAATTTTATTTAAAATGTTACTTTCAATTAGGATTATATATTAAGAATATTAAAATAAAAAATTAAGATATATCTTTATTACAACATTAATAAGTTTCTAATGTAACATTTTATATGTCCGATAAAAGACCGTTTTAGATAGAAATGAATATTTACTATGTAATGATTAAATAGAAAGAAATATATATATATAACAAATAATCCAAAAAAAAAATTTAAAAATACAACCAAATAAACATTATATTTTTGTAATGATTAATAATTGATGTCCCAACGGCAATGTGTATATACATTCGTTGTAATGTTTCCTTATGATTTGCTCAATAATTTGTGAGTTAAGTTAGGTGGAGTCATTCCAATTATAGAAATTGAGATTTTATAATATAATTTACATTTGTAACTAACTGAACTTTATCTGTTTAGATAAATATTTAAAAATTGTTACTTTAAACAATTATTCGATATTCATATTAATAATAAATTAAATCATCTCTAAAATGATTTGTTGTTAGACAAATGGGTTAGTTCTTTTGATGTGTTTTTTTTTTTCCAATAAAATAATGCTTGAATTGGATGTAATGTTTTGTGTAAATTTTGGTCTATTTTCATAAAAGAAATAATTATGAAGTTGTATTGTACAAAATTGAAGAAAATAACCTCAAACAAAACAAGAAGCGTGTTACATTTATTTTTTGCGCTATTATATTTAATATTAAAAATATTTTTATATTTGTATAATTTTCTATACAAATATCCTTCTATTAATATTATAACACACTAATAAAAATATTTTTGTAATTTTTTTTTATTGACATAATAATTAATATTCAAATATCAACGTGAAAAAAATAAATGAAACTCTTAGAGTCGGACAGAGATAGTATAATTTTTTGTTATGAAATACATGAAATTGTAAAAATGTTATACTCCCTCCGTCCCAAAAGTAAGTATTCATTTGCTTTTTGCACGTAATTTTAGAAAATATTAGTATTATATTGGGATATAGTAGGAATAAAGTAGAAATGACTAAAATAACTTTATTAGTATATGTGATATAAAGGTAATGTCATTTGTGTAATATATTGTAAGTTTTAAGGATATTTATAATGTTAGATAGACAATACAATTACTAAAAAAAGGAAATAAATACTTTATTATGAGACGGACTAAAATGAAAAAATGAATATTTTGTTATGGAAATAAGGGAATATATAATGACGTACTATCTATTTTTGTTAGACTTATGTATTTATTGTAATTGATTACACCCTTGTTGTTATTGTTATTTTGAATGAGTTAAATTATAAGGAAGTGTGAAGTAATATAAAAATCTCGACTCACTTTGCCTTTATTTATTTGTAAATTTTTATCAACATTTTTACTATTTGTAAAATTTTTAAAAAAAATCAAATATATGAAATCAAATAATTATTTTCATTTTCGACATTACATTGAAAAATAATTTATGTTATATTAAAAACTATTTCAATTATAGTTTAACTTATTTAAAATCTAAATCTAAAATCCACACAAAAAGACCTTTGATCTTTTGGTTACTGTACCCGAAGACTATAAATAAATCATACAAAGACTAATGAAATGTATAAATAATTTTTATAGAATTCGTACAATATTTGTAGGTTTATTTACTTTTTAAAATTTTATGTTACGGTTTCTCGCAAATATTATTCTCTTCCTCTTATATCTATTTATTTATTTTATTTTTTACCCAAAATTTTAGAAATATTAATAATATATTTTAATATAAATAAAGATAAAAATAACTAAACTAACATGTATAATATAATGATAGTAACATTTGTGTAATATGTTGTAAATTGTAAGGGTACTTGCAACATTAGGTAGATAATATAGTTACTAATAAAAAAATAGATATTTTGTTATGAGACGGACCAAAACAGAAAAATGGATAAATTGTTAAATATAATAGTCTTATTTATCATTTTCGTCCCTCCCAAAATTTTTTTATAAATAATCATATCACTATAAAACTATCATTACTCTTTCATTATTATTACACAATTGCCACTATTTTTTTACACTAATACAATCACAAGGACAAAAAAGTCTTTTACCCGTACTTTTTATCCGTGCCAAACACAACCCAAACTATATTTTTTAAAAAATAAGTACTCTCTCCGTCCCGCGAAAGATGAAGCTTTTTGTTAGGGACACGGTATTTTAGGTAGTGTATGTTATTAATAATAAATTAATATAATATTTTATTATTTTTTATATGTATAGTGTTGTTGGTATCCTAAATATTTTTAGAATTATATCTCAATAAAATATATGCAATATGATATCATTTTGTAGATAATTTTTTTTTTATATAATACAAATAAATAAAAATATTTATTTATTTATCATTACTATAAATTAGTTTTATAGAAAATGAGAGTTTTAAAGATCGATAAAAATATTTATTAATTAAAAAAAATATATAAATAAAGAAATTTTGAATGAGTCCTATATGTAATATGTTAAAAATTTAATTAAATTGATTTATATTTTTTTAAGGGAAATAGGTTATCTTTTGTGGGACGTAAAAAAAATAAAATCATCTATTACAAGACCAATGGAGTATTTAATATATCATTTTATAATAATAAAACAATACATAAAATAAATTAAAAATGTAAGTGAACAACGTCTTAAAATGAAAAATTATTCTAATTATAATATAACACTCAAATTAGAGACACGCTTAAAAATAAAATTCGTTAGAATTAGAAAGCGCCGTACGGTCGAAACTTTTTCATAATATCGTAAGGAAATTGGGGTTTGGGAATAATGACGACACATTTTTGGTCCGAGATATCACCGCCCTTGTCACGTGATGTGCACGTGGACGACATTCACATACCTTTCGCAAATCCCTGTCGGTTGCACATACAGTCAGAAACTTCATTCAAATTCACAGCTAATAATAATAATAATAATTATTATTATTATTAATTAAAACAAATTTATCACTTCTGTTGAACTAATTAAAAAATTGACAGATGACCCTATTTTATGGCTTGAAAGTGATATTTTATTTGCATATTAGAAAAAAAAAAAAAAAAAAAAAAGGTTGGTAATAGTGGTTACGACTTGACCTGATTAAGCCACGGACACGAATATATATATATATATTATTTTATTTTTTTTCAAATGGATATCAAGAAATCCGGAAGGATTAGGGAGTTGGTTGGGACTAATTAGTCCTAATTAATACATAGTACATAGAAAAACAGTATTCTACGCATTATACGTACAAACAACACGTAATCTTATTATATACAATACGTATTGGGTATAATAATGACATGTAACATTACTTCATAATTATAGCGTACTGTATAGCAGTATGTGGTGTGCTGAAAATCAATTAGTATTTGTGTTGTATAAAACTATAGCATGTGCTGATTCAGACGCTGTGCCGCCGATTATTGTGTTAATTAAATATATGTCACATGAATTCCATTATTATATAGATTATCATCAAATATTGTTAATTTATTTATTACATTTATATTATTATAAATTACTGTATGCGTTATCCGTTTATAATAGTATGTGTTATCAACAAATATTAATTGTGACGTCAGCACGGTAAAAATTTTCGTTAAGCTGTAGATCCATTTTCTCTGATTTTATTTTAATTCTTTATTAAAGATGTCTCCACAGATTTATCTCACAACCTTTTACCACAGATTCAGTTTGGTTGGTGCATTGAAGAGTTATTATTAATTCAATCTTCTTTTGATTTTTCCTACTAAGTTTGTAAATTATTTTTCCCTACAAAATATAAATTTAACTACTATTTATATTTAAATCTAAAATTAAATAAAAATTTAATTAAATTTGTTCACTCTGTGTTTGTGAATTGATACGATTTTTCATAAATATTAGTATTAAAAAATATAATATAATATATATTTTATTCATTTACAACAAATTAATAATTTAATACAAATATTAATTTTTATACAGCTCGTACCTAATATAAAAATACATGCATTAAAAGATATAGAATGGAAGTACATAAAACCAAGTTCCAATTAAACACACCTATAGTTTAGTGCCATATTTGCCAAAAGCCTTTGAAAACAATCAACCCATTGGGCCAAACTATATACAGTTAAATTAAATTAATCTTTATTGAGATCTATTAAGCCAATAATTATTAGTTAGATATTGTCATGTCACGTCATTTTATTTAGGTCTACTGAGGTACATCTGTACTTAATGAGTTTTACTCCCATCGTCTCAGATACCATGTCAAGCGTTGCCGATTCTGTCCGTCCTATATACTATGTCATTTTTTTTTTTTTAAAATGATTACACACTTTAATCTCATTTTAAATTTTTAATTTTTTTTTAAATTTTAATTAAACTATTTTGTTATCTTAATCTTAATTTATAATTATTTATATTATAAAATAATTATTTTCACTAATACATTCTTAATTATCTATTAATTACACACTTTTCAAAATACCGTGTCTATAGCAGCAGACACGGTTTCTGAGAGAGAGGGAGTACAACATATTTCACACATTTTATTTTTTAATTTGGATAAAATTTACTATTAAATTGAAACATATTTAACAATTTAATTAAGTACATAACATATAATATTATACATCATGTAGAATTTATTAAAAACCTATTTATTTATATCTCTCTACTTAAAATTAGTTTATATATTAATTATAAATTTATTTATCTATTTGTATTATAGAATAATTTATTTTTCAACAAAATAATGTTCATATTGAATATATTTTTTTTTATTGTGATGTAGGAGGGGTATAACTAATAAATAATTAAAAATATATTAGTGAAAATAATTATCGTATAATAAAAATAATCTTAAATTAAAATTAAGATAACTAATAGTATAATTAAAATAGAAAAAAAATTATAAATTTAAAAATTTAAAATTATCTTTTCAAAAACAAAAAATTGACAGAATAAGTAAAATAAACGAAAATAGAAAAATGAACATCGTTGAGACAAAGAGAATAATTTTTAAAATATTTAAATACATATTCTAATTTTTTTAATCATATATATACAATTAACTTTTATTATAAAACTATCAATATTATTAATTATATAAAAAATAAAAAAATAATATCGTTACTTTTAAATAAAGTATCACTAATAAAGAGATTGAATTCAACCAAAATGGTAGGAATATATTACAATATGAATTTTGAAATATATAGAAAAATTTTGATTGTGAATATAATAAACAATTAAATAAAAAAATAAATAAGTACACAACCCATTTTGTGGCGCACGGGCTTAGATTTCAGAACCCTTCCCGCCCCCGCCTAGTGTAGTTTCCGCCATATTTCTTTCCTTTTCAAACACCATCAAATTTGGGCTCGATTTTTTCACCTACAATGGCGCCAAGTTTCCCGCCACGTCTCCAACCATTCCCCCCTACAAAACCCCCGCCGCAGCCGCCACTCTGAACCACAACTCACCGCCTAACAAACCAACCAAACCAGATCTGCATCTTCTGCACCAACGATTCCAGCCATGGTTGTCGCCTTGGGTCCCGGAAAATTCTACGGCAGCAGTCTGCCTCGCCCCCGGTTCTACACCGACGTCAAATTGAACAGCGAGAGAGTCGATCCGCCGGTTCCGGTCATGGATCCGCTCATGCAGTGGGCGAACGAAGCCCACTGGTCCATGGGGGGTCTCAATTTCAAGCGCCTCCGCCTCCAGGGTCGCATCGAGGGGAACGTCGATAGACTCCGAGTGCAGAGGGAGAAAACTTTTAAGAAATCGGAGAGGCGACGCCCGAAATCGGCGAAGCGTGTGCCGCCGTCGATTTCTGAGGAAGATCGGGAGGAGAGTAGCGAGGTTAGTGAGACTCCGTCTCCGCCTCCGGCGCCGGTGGCGATTAAACGGCGTCGTGTTGTTGGGGTTTTGGATGAGGATGCGGATGAGGCGGTGGAGCATAAGAGGCGGGGGCCGGTGAGGAAATTGGGAGACGATTTTGATAAGGTCGCGGTTGAAAGCGGGATGGCTGTGGACGACGACGGAATTGGTCGGAGTGTGACGAGCGAGGAACCGAAACGGAGAGGGAAATTGGTTAGAGGCGGCCTGAGAGTTGGCGCCGCCGTGGTGGCCGCCGCCGTCGCCGCCAGGAAGTCGCCGCGGCTGTCGAGGAAAAGATTGTATTGAAGGTGTTCGACGAAATGCCTGACTGAAAAAAAGAAGAAAAAAACTGTATACCTAATCAATTAGTAGCTTAGTGCTTTTGCCATCCAATTTCAAATGTTTCTTTTAACTCTCTTGCAATTCAATGACAAATTTATTTCATTGCATAAACAATTCAACACCAAAGAAATCCGAAATGAATAATTCGGCTTCGTTTAAATACAAGTTTTTGGAGATTTTTGAAATTTAAAGAAAAATGAGTTCTTTAATAGAACACTTTGTAGCTGCGAAGGGGAACTTTCCGGCAGGCAGCCCAAAGAAGATCAAAATACAGAGGCAGCTGAGCAACGGCGAAAAATGTCACTGGAAAACTGGCGACGGCGTAAATCGGCCACGCTGCGTACTTAAGCTTCTCACTAAGAATAAGAGTATGTCCTGCGCAAAAAGATAAAAGGACCGAAGCAATTGAGGCGAAGAGTGAAGTCAGCCCCATCAACAGCTTAGTCGGGAGGCTCTTCTTAAAGTCGCGCTCTTCACAGCGCGACGTGATGATCGCGAGGAAGAACACAAGCGCTGTAACAGATAGGCAAAGCGCCATTAACGATGCGATGGAGAAGATATGGAACGCCTCTTGATACCATAGGATCGGATATCCCGTCGTTTGATCGAGGCCGCCGGGCACAGTTGCAGCCGTGGCAAACGATACGGCTGCGATAAGCGCCGCGACAACTGAGCACGACTCGGATGTTTTTATCAGCCATTCGTTGCCGTCCTTCACTAAACTCTGATGCGTTCTCGTGAAGACATTTCTTGGAGTTTCGCGCTTCGAGTTTAGCGTGAAAGACATGGGAGGAACCGATCGCTTCACATGCTGCATCGGATCGAATTAACAATAATCGACTGAATTAATCCTTCTTTTAGAAAAAAAAAATGATTGATTTTGACTACCTTGTACCACTTGATCTCCCACTGCATCTGCAGAGCAGCGCCGGGGATCGACCACGGCTGCTGAGCTCCCATCATCGCGGCAAGATGAAGGATGCTGTTACCCTCGTCGTCGATCTGATGGAACATGTATTCGGGGAGATTGATCGATAGAAGATAGTCGAGGACGCTAGTTTGTCGATTCTCGGCCGCCAGCATCAGCACGTTCTTCTTGTTAGCGTCCAAGTCCTCGATCGCCACCGGGCATTTGCTGATTATCTTCTTCACCATTTCCGGGATTCCCATTTTTGCTGCAACTAACAATGCCGTGTCCTTAACTGCATCGAAAATTTCATTTCCCCGACTTACAAAGATGTCGATTGACAAGCTCGAATGAATATATATCTACTAAACTAATCCACTCACTCTGTTCCTTGTGATCGTCGGAAAGATTCGGAATGCTTTCCAAATGATCGAGCTCGTCTCTCTCCGGTGGGCGTTCCCCGGTGTTCTCGTAGATGTATCCCGCTTCGTTCTCGATCATTTTTCTCATGATTTGGTATGCGTGCGAGTACCGTTCTTTTTTGTCCCGAATCTTCTTTATCCTCCAAAATCCTGCAAACTTAAGCGAGCGAATAACAATCGATGAAACTATCGACAAAAGTCGAGAAAACTTGTAACTACTAACCTACTCCAGCAATGGTTAAGACGACCTTCGTCACAAATTTGAAAATCAGGACACAAGTCGTGTAGTTCGGAGGATACGAGTGTTTCCTCTCTCGTTTTATCTCTTCACCTGGAAACATAAGCCCAAAAACCAATCGAAGAACTCAATCTTTGAGCTCTCGATGCAGACATGAATTTAAAAGCTATTAAAGAACTTTAATGTACATACTTTCATTCTGTCTCTGCCTCTCTTCATCAATCGAATCGCTATTTCGTCTTTTGAATCTCGGAAAACCAGCTTCAACGAAAAAAGACACGTCGAAAAAAATCTCTAACATAAGCGAAGGGAGCTGCAAAAGTTGCTTCATTTACCTAAAAAGCTTTTCATAATTGGCGACCAAAGAAGAAAGAAGATGTCCACACAGGTTCTGTAATTTTCCGGGAGGTTGATTTCGCCTCCCGGCACATAACTACTCTGTGCGCTGGGATTATATTTCTCCTCCTTCAGCTCATCGACAAAGACGCCTGGATGATTAATCATGGTTTCCATTAGCACCATGACGTCGCAAAAAATGCTAAATTCGCGCGTAAACGACAGACATTCTTACAATAGTAGATGAAGGAGTCGTAGAATCCGAAATGGCTGCAGCTCTTGAATGCATTAGGCTTCCTCGCCAAAACATGAAGTGGCGATTCTCCCTCGACATTTATCGAATTCACAAGCTTCGGGTAGTAGATGATGATCTGATAAGCCAATCCTGCGATGAGAACAAATTAATTTCGTCAAATAAGTCAGTTTCACGATCGTTTCACCTAAAAGCTTAAGCTAAAACAGATCAGCATCAAATTTGAGACTCTTACTATAATATTCCCCGGAAATGGCCGAGTGGAGAACCGTGTTCCCATCTTTTCGTCGACGTAGAGCCTCGACCGACAGCTCGCCATTGTTTGCGGAATTTCTGATCAGCTCCTGGTGGAGACAGAGGAACGACTGCAGATTCCCATGATGCGCTGCGACGAACAATGGCGTTTCACCATTTTCGTTGCGTATGTGAATGAGCTCGCGATTTTTTGCAGCGATTCGTGCGCAGACGGAGACCCATCCGACGGCTGCGGCGAGATGGAGTGGGGTATCTCCTTTGACATTTTGCATTGTGAACACTTGGCCTTCGACGAGATCGATCATTTCTTCGACGTGCGCCGAGCTTGAGGGGTGCTTCGAGTGGTAACTTGAGACGGCAATGTGCAGCGCCGTCTCCTCGGATTTGGTGAGCTTGGCAGTATGCGCGGCCGGCTGCCGCCGGTAGATCTCGGCCACCTCTCGCCACCTCTTGGCCATGGTGAGCTTGAAGAGTGCATCGTGATTAGGTCCTCTTTGATTTTGGTTCATTTCTTTTGTAGGAATGCTTTCTTAACTATGTCATCTATCAATCTCTATTTATTGTTGTTAGTTTATATTGACAACTTCTTATTTAAAAATTTTAGTAGTTTCTCCTCCGTAAAATTTATTATCACTTTTCTTTTTAGGTTGGGCGGTAAAAAATCAACAGATCAATATTTAATTACTATTTTTCATTCAACACTTATTCACAACAAATACACTACTTTGCATTCAACACTTATTTATAACAAATATCACTAACTTTATTACCGTCTTTTTTTCATTTACTTCGATTTTTATCTAAATTTCTAAAAATACTTTAACTATCTTTAATTTTTTCAATAAAATATTTATTTATTTTTAATCTGAGTGGTCCATATTTATCATTGTTATTATTATTATTAAACTATAGAAATCTCTCTCTAAATTGAGCTATATTTTATTTAATGTTCTTGGAGTGAGTTGATTAGAAAAGCAAAGTGATGCTAGTAATAAACAAAGGGTATACTTTACATTATATATTTACACACACAGTGTCTTGAGGTTATTATTTTTTAAATGAAAATTAAGAAATTATATATGATTTAAAATGAGGTAAAAATAAAAGAGAATAAATTAAAATCTCCTGCATCAAGTTATTCTTGCTTCTGCGTTCATTTATTCACCAGACTTAACTACTTTAGTGCTAAGGATGGGATCTCCACACCAATATAAAAAAGGTTCTGAAATTCTTATACATATTTATTCATAAATATTCTACATGTTCATCCAATTTTTATTTATTGTTAATACAATTTACAATAAATATTATTGCAAAACATAATAAATAACATATATACCTCCCAACTGATCTCCTTTAAATATTCAATTCACCACAAGAAAAAAGATATTCAATCATATACAAATTTTCGGGAATTATTTGGATTCGTCACTTTAATTTTTTTGCATTTTTTAATTTTCTAGCATTTTGTAGTAGTCAGAGATTTCGACTTTCTTCATTTTTGAATGAATTGATTTTCGGGATGTGATATGAGTAATTGTATTATATCTGTCCAGTTCTAAAGTCTAATTTATTTTTTTACGTAAATTAATATTTATATGATAGTACTACTTAAAGAAGTAGAAAGAAGCTAAGAAGCCGAAGAATTTATACTAATATTCATAATTAATATCCAATCTTACATTCATTATTATAATGAATAACTAATTATTTAAAGTACAACTGTATGATTATAGTGTTGATCGAAAAATCAGTATCATGTTGATACTTTTAATTAATACTCATTCAGTCCCCTGTGTTTCGCACGAGATCTAAAAAATATTGATATTATATTATAGTAGATAAAAAATATAGGTAAAAGATTTTTTATCCTTGTGGTGTATTAGTATAAAAAATAGTGGCAATTGTGGAATAATAATGAAAATGTAAGGGTAATTCTATAGTAATACTATTATTTATTTATAAAAATGAGACTATTATTTTAAGATGGTAAAAAATGGTAAACAGAACTGTTGTATTGAGACAAAAGGAGTATATAAAAATAATAATGATCCCTAAGCCTTAGAGTTGGCAAAAAAATAAGCATAAACATGAAAATTTGATTCAAAAAGAATTGTGCTTAGGCCTAAAAAAAATAGATTCGAAATAATTCGGGCCGTGCTTGGCCCGTCATGACTATAAACTGGACCGTGCCTGTCCAATTTGAATATATAATCGGGTTGGGTCGGTCCGAAACAAAAAAATCGTACCAGTCTGTTTTGCCACCTCTACGAAGCTTTTTTTTTCTTTTTTTATTATATATGTAAAAGTTTTTTATTTTTATTTTCAAATACATAGAAAATTTGCCCCCCAAATTTATTAATTAATTCAAATCCAATTATTTGTCCGCCTCTATTTTAATTTTGCCTCACCACTTTTCATAATAATATATTAATTTTAAATATTATATATATATATATATATTATATACATTAAAAACAAAATCTAACCCTACAATTTAACATACCAGCCGCCGCTACACACCATATTCTTTCTTTCAGTTTTTTCTTGCTTTTCATTTTTTATTTTTATTTTTTTTCATTGCATTTCTTTAATTGTTTTTCACTGTACTTCTATTTGCAAAGTAGATTAGATATTTAAATTTTAATTACATTTATATTTATTGTAATGTAATCGTAGCTACTTCGCCAAATAATATAAGTGCTTCAATAAAATATTTTAAAATGTACTACTGCTTGTTACTTTATGTGCTGCATTTTATTAATATAATAAATATATATATTTCTACTGTGGTAAAATATCAAAAGTATTTATTTTTATAAATTAAATTTATAATTCCCTAACGTATTTGACATGATAGTTCATAATCCAAAGCTTAATCTTAATACTCATTCTAGGGCTTTGCTAAATAGATAATTGGATCATCTCATGCAACAGGTACTACTTAATACTTTTATTGTGTGCTGAACTGAAGCCGCCAGGGTTCATCACTCAAAACCAATACGGCCCGCCGATTGAGGGTTTTGATCGATCAATCATTCATCATCAATAGAAAGATTGTATTGATTATTCACCAAGTTCCAGGCTGATTAAGTTTTCTTTTGAGTATACGTTCGTTCATTTTTGGCTTTTCGAAAATGTATGGAGGTGCGTATAACTACTCGGACCCGAATCCGGGCCATCACGTGGTGGATTTGCATGAGGAGGATGAAGATGATGAGGATGAGAATTTGGAGGAAGAAGAAGACATGGAATCGAAACAGATATCGCAGGAGGATGCATGGGCTGTGATCAGTGCTTATTTCGAGGAGAAGGGCTTGGTGAGGCAGCAATTGGATTCCTTCGATGAGTTCATACAGAACACAATGCAGGAGATCGTCGACGAGTCCGCTCACATCGAGATCCGTCCCGAGTCCCAGCACAATCCCGCTCGATCATCCGATTTTGTCGAGGTAATTTATAGAAATTGTTCCTTTTACTCTATTAACCATTCGAATTGCAGTAGAACTTGTTTAGCTTTGTTTTGGGGATTTGAATTGTTTCGAGAATAGTAAAAAAATTGAAGTGTTATAATTTGCGAATTCCATGAAGAGGATCATAAATTCCTACAGAATCGTGGCTTGAACATGTAGTCTATTGCCTATTTTCATCGTTTACTTTTAATTTGGGGCTAAATTTTACTTTCCATGTTTGCTTTCCAGACTGTATACAGAATCAAATTTAGTCAGATATACCTTAGCAAGCCTATGATGACAGAGTCCGATGGCGAAACCAACACTCTGTATCCGAAAGCAGCGAGGTTGAGGAACTTGACATACTCATCACCATTGTACGTGGACGTCACGAAGAAAGTCGTGAGAAAAGGGCATGAATGCGAAGAGGTTGCAGAGACTCAAGAGTTCACCAAAGTTTTCATTGGAAAGGTTATCTATATTATTGTTGAGTTTGAGCTGAATATGTATTATCACAGCCAGGGATGTAGACATCTTGCTTATGGTATTCTGAATTATGTAGGTTCCGATAATGCTGCGCTCGAGTTATTGTAGTTTGTACAATCTATCAGAAAAAGACTTGACAGATTTGGGGGAGTGCCCGTTTGATCAGGGAGGATACTTTATAATAAATGGGAGTGAAAAAGTTCTCATTGCTCAAGAGAAGATGAGCACAAATCATGTTTATGTTTTCAAGAAGCGCCAGCCGAACAAATACGCTTATGTTGCCGAAGTTAGATCCATTGGCGAATTCCAAAACAAGGCACCTAGCGGCATGTTTGTTCGAATGCTTTCAAGACCTGGTGCAAAGGGGGTATCTAAATTTCAATCTGTTCTGTTAATATTTCTCATGTTATATATATATATATACATATATATATGTATTTATATTATATTACCTTAATCACATGTTTTAAGATACACTCTTGTTTCATAATTCTTGCTAAAAATGCAGGGAACCTCTGGTCAGTACATTCGAGCTACACTGCCCTACATTCGAACTGAGATACCGATAATTATAGTGTTTCGCGCGTTAGGTTTTGTGGCAGATAAAGACATTTTAGAACATATCTGCTATGATTTTAGTGATGTGCAGATGATGGAGTTACTCCGGCCTTCTTTGGAGGAGGCATTTGTTATACAAAATCAACAAGTATAATTTCTATCGAAGACATAGTGCAGAAGATACAATGTTCTTCATTATTGATATCTTAAGTTTGTTTCTGTAGGTTGCTCTTGACTACATTGGCAAGAGAGGTTCTACCGTAGCCGTTACAAAAGAAAAAAGAATTAAGTATGAATCCATATTACTATGTTCTGATGCTTAAGGGGAATATGAATATCGTCGTATCTATTGATAGGTATGCGAAAGAAATTCTCCAAAGAGAGATGCTTCCGCATGTCGGTACTGAGGAATACTGTGAAACTAAGAAAGCTTATTATTTTGGGTTGGTACTAAACCTTTTCTTTGATCAATTAACCTCTTTAGGTATCATGAGTAAACTTGTTTCGGTTTCGGCAGGTATGTTATTAATAGACTATTACTTTGTGCACTTGGAAGAAGAGCAGAGGATGATCGTGATCACTATGGAAATAAGAGGCTCGATCTTGCTGGCTCCTTGTTAGGAGGCTTATTTCGCATGGTTCGAATGTTTACACTTTTTTTAGATACCATTGATTGGTTCAGAGGACAGAGTTCAATGAGTTCATCCTTTCATTGAATGCAGCTATTCAGAAAATTGACGAGGGATGTTCGATCTTATGTGCAGAAGGTTTAGTAACATCTCAACTTTAGTATAATTAGTTCTTTGTACTGAATGAAGTTTCCAATTGCATAACTAATGGATCCATATGAATGAAACAGTGTGTTGATAATGGGAAGGATGTGAATTTGCAATTCGCAATCAAAGCGAAAACGATCACTAGTGGCCTCAAGTATTCTCTTGCCACAGGAAACTGGGGACAAGCGAATGCAGCCGGTACTAGAGCAGGAGTCTCCCAGGTTCGATTTTGTTGTCTTGGTATATTCGATCCTTACTACATTAGTCTTACAGTAACATTCATGCTTCTCTGTAATAAGGTGTTGAACCGTTTGACATATGCATCGACACTTTCTCATCTACGCAGACTAAACTCACCTATTGGTCGAGAGGGTGAGCCTTTTCATGTTGTTGCAATGGTCATAAAAATCTTGTGTTTCCTTTAATGATCATCTTTTGTGTTTAGGCAAACTGGCTAAACCCCGGCAGCTTCATAACTCGCATTGGGGAATGATGTGTCCTGCAGAAACGCCGGAGGGACAAGTATAGTTTTTATGCAAGATTGCTGTTACATACTTACATTATCAGTTTAAAATGGTTTCGATTATTCCTCGGTGTTTGTATTTTTGATGGTTTTATTACAGGCTTGTGGACTGGTGAAGAATCTTGCACTTATGGTGTATATAACAGTAGGATCAGCAGCACATCCGATTTTGGAGTTCTTGGAAGAATGGAGTACAGAGAGTTTCGAGGTCGAAGAATTTCTGGAATTTCTTTGAACTTCTTTGCTCACAATATTGATTCTATCTATTTTTTTTTAAGGAAATATCACCAGCTGTTATTCCTCAAGCTACCAAAGTATTCGTTAATGGTACTTGGGTTGGAATTCACCGTAACCCCGAGCGACTCGTTAAGACTCTGAGGAACTTAAGAAGACAGGTTCTCTACAATCTAATGATATCATATTTTGATGTTTAGTTTTAGTAGTGAATATCACCATGAATAAAAATTTGATTGCTTGTATATGTCTTACAGATCGATGTGAATACAGAGGTTGGAATTATCCATGATATTCGTCTTAGGGAGCTTCGGCTGTACACAGACTATGGTCGCTGCAGCCGTCCTTTGTTCATCGTCGAAAACCAAATGCTGCTCATACAGAAGGAGGACATTCTTGCATTGCAGCAACGGGTGGGTTTAAATCGAAGCTTGATTTTGCAATGTCCTTGTCGATGATTTACTCTGTTTCTGGTGTTGATCTCTGTCTCTCAGGAGTCTGCTGATGACTACAGTTGGCATCATATTGTCGGGAAAGGATTTGTCGAATACATTGATGCATCAGAAGAGGAGACTACAATGATATCGATGACAATAAATGTAAGTAGCCTACGATTCACTCTTGTTAAGGGTCCAATGTTCTAATATCTGCAGCTGAATTTTTGTAGGATCTTGTCAATTCGAGGCGAAGTTCAGGCGATGCTTACACTGAAACATACACTCATTGCGAAATCCATCCGTCGTTGGTGTTAGGCGTTTGCGCTTCGATCATACCATTTCCTGATCACAATCAGGTTTCTTTGCTTCGACATTGTGTTATAGCTCTCGAGTTTCTTATGAACTTAATCTTTATACCCCTCGATTCGTTGCAGTCCCCTCGTAACACATATCAATCCGCAATGGGGAAGCAAGCGATGGGAATATATGTTACTAATTACCAACTACGAATGGTGAAGATTAGTTTCAAACTTTTTGTCGACATTGCTCAATTCTACATTTTCTTCGATCATACGATGTTTGTTTTTGCAGGATACATTAGCATATGTTCTTTACTATCCCCAAAAGCCTCTCGTCACGACTCGTGCTATGGAACATTTGCATTTTCGACAGCTTCCTGCCGGCATAGTAAGGATTGCTTACTACTTTCATTTTTTGTTATTCTAATGTGTTGATGATGAAGTAATCAGTGTGTTCTTTTTATGCAAGAATGCTATTGTTGCCATAGCTTGCTATTCTGGATACAACCAAGAAGATTCTATTATCATGAACCAATCTTCGATTGATCGTGGATTCTTTCGATCCTTATTCTTCCGGTCATATAGGTTACATTCTCTACTTTTTCCGATTCAGCCATAGTTTCTAGATTCGATTTCGTCGAATTTATGTCTCTCTCGTAGGGATGAAGAGAAGAAGATGGGAACACTAGTTAAAGAGGACTTTGGGTGTCCTAATAGAGACAGCACCCTCGTTAGTTCTCTGAGTTTTTTCGAATTTGGTTTTAGCTTTCTGGTAATTCTTACAAGAGAAGTGTAAAAATGTTGTATGATTTGCAGGGTATGCGACATGGATCTTATGACAAGTTAGACGATGATGGATTCGCTCCGCCTGTGAGTATGACTATTATTCGCTAGCTTTCGTTTGAACTGTCGATCAATGGCGAAGTTGTGAACCATTCAGCGTAATTATACATGTATCAGGGAACTAGAGTGTCCGGAGACGATGTTATTATTGGCAAGACGACGCCGATTTCTCCGGAGGAAGCTCAAGGGAAATCTGCTAGATTCACAAACAAGGATCACAGCACAAGTTTACGGCACAGCGAAAGTGGAATTGTCGACCAGGTATGCTTGAATAGGATGTGCTTGTCATATACTGTCAGTTCATATGATGTATCGTATTATATTAACATAAATTTTATGTTGTTTGTCTGTGTGAAATATTGTTATGTACTGTCAGTTCATATCCTGTATTTATGACATCTTTAATTAGGTTCTATTGACGACCAACGCTGATGGATTAAGGTTCGTCAAGATACGTATGCGATCAGTTCGAATACCTCAAATCGGCGACAAATTCAGCAGCCGGCACGGCCAAAAGGGAACCATCGGAATGACTTACACACAAGATGATATGCCGTGGACAATCGAAGGCATTACGCCGGACATCATAGTTAACCCTCACGCCATACCTTCTCGTATGACAATTGGCCAGCTCATCGAGTGCATCATGGGCAAGGTTGCGGCGCATATGGGCAAGGAAGGCGATTCCACGCCTTTCACCGATGTTACGGTAAGAAATGTGCTCAGTTTTTCATCTTACTTTCGACGTGAATGGTTTTAGTGCTGATTTGAAAAATTCAGCACAATGCTAATTTGTGCTGTTTGTTCATAATTATATGTGTGTTGTATAAGAGTATGTATGTGCTAAAATCAACTTTTGTATATGCTTTATGTAATTATAACTAGTACTATTAATTAATGGCTGTAATTGTATTATATTAACATATAAAATGTGCTGTGTGCTATGCTTTTCTGCCCAGTGTTGAATTTTAAATATGCTTATCACCCGATGATATCTTGATATACTCACCGGTTAATCGATTTTCTTCATTCAGGTAGACAACATTAGTAAAGCTCTTCACAAATGTGGATTCCAAATGCGCGGTTTCGAGAGAATGTACAACGGTCACACCGGGCGTCTGCTGTCCGCAATGATATTTTTCGGGCCTACTTATTACCAGCGACTCAAGCACATGGTGGATGACAAAATCCACTCTCGAGGCCGAGGCCCCGTGCAGATACTAACTAGGCAGCCAGCCGAGGGACGGTCTAGAGACGGTGGTTTGAGGTTCGGGGAGATGGAGCGCGACTGCATGATCGCCCACGGAGCTGCGCACTTTCTCAAGGAGAGGCTGTTCGATCAGAGCGACGCATACAGGGTTCATGTTTGTGAGAAATGTGGCCTAATCGCAGTTGCGAGTATGAAGAAACCGTCGTTCGAGTGCCGAGGCTGCAAGAACAAGACAGACATTGTTCAGGTATTGTATTGTATGTAGTAACTAATTAACTAACGAGTAGTAGATTTAGTTTAGTTCGATTTGATTGTCATATGTATGTTTTGGTCTTACAGGTGAATATTCCTTATGCCTGCAAGCTTTTGATCCAAGAACTCATGGCTATGGCTATTTCCCCAAGGCTACTCACTAAGGAAGACAAAGCTTACCAGCAACATAGAGCCAGAGGTTAGTGAAGTTTTGAAAGTATGCCAACTTGCCTTTGATCTATCGATTATAATTTTCTGCTATAAAAATAAACGATCCGATTAAACAGTAGTTTGTTTTTTTTTTTGAGATTTTTGAAATTTTTAAAAAAATTTTTTTAAAAAAAATAAAAAAAATAGAGGTGTGCTCTGTCAATTTCCTCCCCCCCTCCCCAAAATACTACATATAAGATACATATAAGATTCACTCAAAATTCATTCAAGATTTTCTATTTCTATGAATAAATAAATAAATATATTTATATACATTTAAAGTTCCTTATTTATTAGTAAAAGTAATTTATATTAATTATAAATAATTTTTTTATTTTTTATTATATAAATTTTATTGATTACAAAATAATATTTATATTATATATTTTAATAAAGTATAATTATGAAAATAAATAAATATAAATCTTAATTTTTTTAATCTTATATATATTACATTATATATCAAATTAATTAAATAAATCAATTTCAACTCAACTTCCAACTCAATAACTCAACCCCTAACTATAGGCACAATATTTGATTTGATATTTTGTTAGAAAAAAATATATTTAATATAATATTTTTTAAAAAATAAATAGTACCATTTTTTTTTTTAAAAAAAAGCTTAAGTCGAGGAATAAGGCTCAAGTGTTGATTATTATTACTGCTTGAGGATGGATCAATGTGAACACCTCTTATATTAATATCATGGAACATATGATGATATATGGTTAGTGGATGAAATAAAAATTTGAGAACATGATCTTTTGTTCTTATTACTCCTTTATTATTTGGTGAAATAATTCTCAAATGCTATGTTTTTATTAAATAAATGACTATAGTTTTGTGGGAATGTGTGATATTGTGTATGCTACTTGTTACCTTATACATATATAACTGGAACCCTTTATCATTTTAGTCCCGTAAGTGGAGCCTGTCGCAAACTAGTCTCATAAGTGAAAAATTTTCGCTGTTTTAGTCCTCCGACGCCGGAGACGCTCCCGTGGCTCGCCGGAGGTGACGTGTCCGCCAGGTGTCCCGCCAGGTCAGCGACACCTGGCGGACACGTGGATTTATTTATTTATTTATTTTTTTAAATTGGATCAAATAAAAAAAATACAAATAAAACTAAAAATAAATTAAAAATAAGTTTTAAAAAAAATTTAAAAAAATGAAAAAAAAAAATAAAAAATCCACGTGTCTGCTAGGTCAGCGACACCTGACGGACACGTCACCTCCGGCGAGCCACGCGGGCATCTCCGGCGCCGGAGGACTGAAACAGCGAAATTTTTTCACTTATGAAACTAGTTTGCGACAGGCTCCACTTACGAGCCTAAAATGATAAAGAGGTCCAGTTACGAGACTAAAAAAACAGTTTAGCTTTAATTTAATCTAGACATATGTATATACTTACTTATTCAATGTGACGCTGCCTAACTAATAATTGGGGGTCGTACAGACATGAGGTTGGTCCCCCTACGGACATCGCTATCCTTGCCCTATCCTCGTTAATTAATGAAGATCCAACCCCCTTGCAAATCTAGCGCGCTTCTAAATAAATTAATTATTTTTAAATAAATATGAGATGATTAACCATTTGAATTTTATATTAAAATTAGATAAATCTTGTGTGGAATGATCAAACACTTTATTGAATGTGCCTATTCTTTAATACTTCATCCGTCTCAAAATATTTAGGACATTTGGGATGAATACAATAAGTAAAGTATAATCGTATTATATTGATAGTGAACCTAAAAATATTTTTAAAAAACTTAAATGCTCTTATAGTTTTATAAAAAAGTGGAGAGTTAATAACCAAAAATAAAAATGAGATTATTGTTTTGAGACGGACGAAAATGACAAAATAAGACTATTATTTTTTAATGGAGGGAATATATTTTAGCTTTGATGTTTTTTAGATAAAAATATTTAAGGATGTGTTTTTCTTGAACCAAAAAGGAAAATTTGTCAAAAAAAAAAAAAAAGAAAAAAGAAAAAAAAAGATATAAAGAGATCTACTAAAAGAATGCACATAATATGTGTTGACACAATAAAACTAATGCATTTAAAACGGTTCAAACCCTCGACAGTCTCATAAATAAACATGGTCATAGGCCTAGAAAGCAAGTTATTACACCCCAAACACGACGATTAATGGCGCTACAATTTACCTCAAACCATCGTACTTACCGACATAGCACGATGTTGCAAACAGACACACCATTTGTTCAAAATTCATCAGCGGACATCTTACACTATTCATCAATACACTTGTTGGGATATGTCTTACCTTTAACAACATCGACGGAGATATGTTGGAAAAATCACTCGAGTCTCACTAGATTGCATAATTTTTAATAAAAATATATTATTTTATCTCACAAAATATCATATCAAAATACTATTTAAACGAAAATTCAAATATAACACATCATTTCAAATTAGTTTCAATCTACAAGCAAAGAAACAAACAAGAGAGGGAAATGATGGTTTTTTCTTATAATAACATGTGTATTAGTGATTAAAGCAAATTAAGCATTTTTTTTTTTTTAAATCATCAATAGAATAAAATAATACTATAAAATATTACGTATAAGTATTATTTTATCATAATTCCATATATTATTAATAGTATTCTCTGGTTGCGTTTATGATTGTATTATAATAATAGATTATTTCAATAGATTATATAATCGATTGATTAATTAATAAAACATTTATCTTGTGTGATTAAATATTAGATAAAATTATATTATATTTACTTTGTTTGATTATATGATATGATTATTTTTCTTACCCAAAATATCCTTAATAATGTTATTAGAAATGATTGTAATATAATTTATTTTATATAGTTTTCTTCCTTTCTAATTATAGCAATATTAAAATTTAATTAATTTATTGTCATGACATAATATATATATAATTTGATATATTTTTATTTTTTATTAAATATATTTAATTTTATCCTTAAAATTATAAATTATATTTTAGTAACATATTATATAGCAAATTTTATCACTTTATATTATTGATTACAATTCTTAAAAATAATGATAATTTAGATTTCAAATTAAATTAAAATATATTAAACAAAAAGATTGTTAATATTTTCTTATAAAATGTTTTTAAATGTTAAAAAAGGGGCAATTTAAACACTTTAGTAGGTAGAATTAAAATATATGCATTGTAAAATATGTGCTGTATTATCATGTGTTACGAAAATATGCATTGTATTTATATTACGACGCTTATTTAACTCAGTTAACACTGTAATTGTTCTATGACATAAGATTGTTTCAAACATAACGATGTAGACTCAAGCTATTCGTATGTACTTATTAAAGTTTTGCTATTATCTTGTATTAATCAACATTAATATATTCAATAAAAAATTATTATCATATATTTTTTAAAAATGCATAATTTTCTCTGATAATTTTAAAATTGTCTAAAGACTTCCTTATATTTTTTAAATATTGCACAAAATTCATTGTTAGAAAATTATGTGCAATATTTTCGAATATACAAAAGGGATTTTATACAATTTTTAGGAATTTTGAATAATATGTTTTAAAATACAAAAAAATTTCATGCTATTCTTAAACCATAAAAAAATATTGTGCAAACTTTTAGAATTACAAGTGAGTCATAAATAATTTTATTTTCATATGAAATAGAAGTATTAAATATAAAACTTTAGAAAAATGTATAGCTGAATAACTTAAAAAGTAAACTTTTGTGAAAAACAACAATTAAACGAAGATAACATGATGTACATGGAAAACTAGAAGATGTTTGGGAAATAGCTTTTTGAAAAACTTTTAGCTTATTGAACAATTTTTAGCTGTTTGACCAATTAAAAAACTAATTTAGATGTTCGGTAAATTAGTTTTTTTTGAATGAGTTTTTTGGACAAAAAAAAAAAAAAAAATTCTGAAAAGCTCATATACCCAACGTTTTGAAAGAATTTTTCATTTTAATTTTGATTATTCCTCGTTTACCCTTAAAACTTAATTATTTATTTTATACATATAAATATATTTTTATAGCAGTATTTATTATTTATTTTTAATATATTTAATTAATTAAATTATATTTTTATTTTTGTAAATTTTAAATAATAATAATTATTAATTATTACATATAAATTATTTTATTTGCAAAATTTAAAACTAAATCAAATAGAAAAAACAAAGGTTATTAATTTATTTATATATATTAAAACAATAATCAACATAATAAAAAAATATATACAAAAGATTTATTATTTTATATTTTATATAATTTCAATAAAAAATTATAATTTTTTAGTAAAAATAATTTTCTCAAATCTAAATAATAAAAATAAAAATAAACATTTTATAATATTTTTATAATTTTCAATAATCAATAAAAAAAATTCTCATAAATTTCAAATCAAAATGAACAAAATTAAATATTTTAGAAAATAACATTGCAATGTCCTTAATAGTCATTTTATGTATAAACAACTAATGTCAAATAGTTGTTATACCAAACACTTTAATACAAACCGCTAATTAAATTAGCTAGTCAAACCATCTAATTAAATCAACTAACAGCTAACAACTAATTGAATAAGTTAACAACTAAAAGCTATCAACTAATTGCCAAATGCACTCCTAATATAAAATCGATGAGTGGCTGGGATTAAATGCATAGACACTGGACCTTACATTACATTTTTTTTTTTTAATGTGAAACTACAGCTGCTACTCATTGAGTGCGATTTGGATAAACTTTCGATCAAATTTAATATTTTGCAAATTAAATTCGACAAAACAAATCACATCGGCCTAACCATGTGTGACAGATAAATCTGAAGACATCTAAAATTTAAATATATAACTCACGATCACGAGTTCACCGTCACACTACCAAATCATCGAACCCAAAGGAATATATAGACTATAGTGAGACAGTAGTTAAATACTCCTATAAATAAAAATCTTGTAACTAAGCAAACATAATATATATTCCCTCCGTTCCCGATCCAAAGAGGTCCTTTTGCGATTTTATAGTAGATTAAAAAATAATAGTATTTTATTTATCAGTAAAAGTGTGTAAGAGATTTTGATATTTTTACTTTACGTAAAAAATAATTGTATATGTAATGATATGTTTATAATATAGGTAAAAAATAAAGGGTATTTTGGTACTGGTGTATAATTACTTTTACTAAAATAAGAAAGTGATACTTTGAAGTGAGACTGACGAAAATGATAAATAATGGACTTTGAGTTGAGACGGAGAGAATATTTATTTTCTTTTTTAAGTTATAGTAAAAAATAATTCTCATTTCTTTTTTTATTTTTAGTAAAAAGTATATTATTTTTTATATCTTTTATTATAAATAGTAAAAAGTAAAGATTTTTATTAAATTTCATACTCAAATATTTGAGACAGTCGAATTTTATTTTCTATATATAATTGCTTGTATGCAAAATATGTATCCAATTTTGTAGCCATATATGTGAATCACCCTTAACTTAAAATTTTGAATGGCTGTACACATATTTCTAAACTTAAACTGAACAAAAATGAAATTAATAAAAGAATAAAAACTATCTGTTTTAATTTAAAAATTCATAATAATCCGTGTGAAATATATGTCACAATTAAATTCACATAGATTTGAATTGCACATAAAATTTTCCAAATTTTTATCAATACTTTTACACAATAAAACACACATTTATTTAACATTGAACATTGTATTGGCATCGCATTCAATATGAACAGACAATATATAAATATCATAAATCAACAACATAGCTTAAACAATTTTTTTTTTTATTATTTATAAATACTATTTTTTATATTAACGAGATATAATTCTTTCGAACAAAAACAATGAACAAACAAACTCATATTATATGTTATGAAAACTTAATATCACAAGTGAAATTCAAAATATGACTATAAGAGCTTAATATATATATATATATATATGCATGCACATATATTTCCATTGAAATTTATTAATTATATAAAAATAATAAATAAGTATTAAAAATTGTGTTATATTAATATTTTGAAAAAGCCATAATATAGAGAATATATATAGTTGAAAAGAAAATAAAACATTAGCTTTAGAGAAGTGAATATCTGCTTCACAGAATATGATAAAATAAAAAATATTAAAAGCGACGCATCAAAACACATATAAAATTAGCAAGACATGAATAACCAACATCCCAACTCGATCGAGGAAGATCATACATACAAACATATATATATATATTATATATCATCAATTAATAATAATTAATAAATTACTCAGAATGCAAGAGCCACTCACAGCTAATAATTCAGACACAACACAGCAACATTCGACGATAATACACACAACAGCTGCCAGTGATAATTAATTGATCGATTTTTTTAAAATTAACTAATAGTAGCTCCACATGCAATCGAGTTCTGTGGCGTTCACTTTCTGATTATACTCCGCCGGAGGAAACTGCCCGAACAACGGCGCAATCGAGTTCACCATCTGATCGCCGCCGCCTGCGGAAGAGTCGCCGGCCGGAGCCGCCGCCATTGATGGGAACAGAAAAGGTAGGTGGAGATTCTCCTGGAGCGACCTCAGGCTCGGGAATGCCGACACTCCCATGTTGCTCCTCGAGCAGCGCGAATAATCAGACGACAGCTGCCCGTAGATCAGCGCACTCAGAGGTGAATTCTGCGGCGGCGGCGGCGGGGGAAGGTCGAAGAGAGAGCTGTGGCTGAAACTGGGTGGAGCTGGCGTGGAGAAACAGGGCACGTGCTCCTTCACGTGATAGGAGCAGCTCTCGCGGTCGGTGGAGGCCGTGGAAGGTTCCAGAAGCGCCGGCAGTTGCGAAACGGAGGAAGGAGAACCCACTTCAGAAATGGCAATGGCGGTCGAGCCGGCTGAGTGGCGTTTCTTCCCGCCGCCGGCGGTGGCGGCGCCGCCGCCGATTCCGCTTTTCTGGAACACTCGGGAAATCACCCACTCGCCCTGGATAACACCAAATTAAATCAATTAAAACCTTGATGGAATCGAATTTTGTAAATCAATGTTGTAATAACATGGGTTAGGGTTGGTAGGGTACCTTGGAGTCTCGAGACAAGTAGGGATAAGCAAACTTTCCTTCGAGGCGATATTCGTGCATGACCCAGTTGCTTTTCTCGCCTTTGGGAGCTCTTCCTCTGTAAAAAACTAGGGTTTTCTTCATACCTACCAGGGAGCATGTTTTGGAGCTGTAGATCTCCCGGTCTTTTCCGGTCGCCTTCCAGTAACCGGCTTCAGTCGCCCGGTTCGTCCTCAACCCGGTCGGGTACTTCCGGTCGCGAAGGCTGAAGAAGTACCACTCTTTCTCCCCCATCTTTGCTTTGCCTGCAACACAACACAACACAACACACCTTTGATTTAATTAAGACCTAAATTATATTATATATATATTGTAGTATAAATTAATTGATATCGTGAGACCTGGAAGATTCCATGGCTCGCATTTGTTGAGATCAACTTCAGCAATGGCTCTGCTGGTGAAATTGCAGTCCAGAACCTTCTTCAAGAGGTAGTAAGTGATGAGTTCTTCGTCAGTTGGGTGGAATCTGAACCCTGGAGGCAATGCCTCATGCTTTTCGTAGCTTTGATGATGATGATGGTGGTGATGATGATAATTCTCCATGGACAAGTTCAGGAACCAAAACCCCTCTCTTACAAATGACCTAATAACTACAGAAACGTATGTATATATATATATAGTTCAGTTATGATTTTCAGGAAGAGAGAAGCACGGAAGCGAAATCCCAGGTACTCAGACAAATTAATTTAATTTCAATATATAAAAAAAAAAGAAAATCAATCAACAGTATTGGGGGAGTATAAAAGGACAGCACAGTTAAATTAAAAGTAAACCAATGAGATCGAAGAGGGGTCGAAATTAGGGTATTGTTATTTTTAATGAGGGGTTGAGTGCAGTGGTGGGTTTTGCAACTCATGGGGATTTGATAAATCGAGAGTGTTTGTGGCAGGGGGTGGGGGAAAGGCGATGAAATACTCCATGGCCATATTATTTGGAGATTGAAATTAATTAAAATTATTAAAAAAAAATATCTGCATTTCTGCAGGCTGATCTGATCTGATCTGACCTGATTTTTCAGCACTGTGCTGCGTCCCTTATCATATCAATCCAATACATGAGGTAGCTAGAGGTAGCTGGTAGGGATGATGTATGTATCTGTATCTATATATATCTATATATTGAATTATAACATACTTGTTGTAATAAATTAATAATAATAATAATAATAATAATAATGTTGGAGTATGCGTGCGTGCGTGAGGAAGTGTGCAGGTATTCCTATGTCAGTGAAGAAAATGAAAGGGAAGGAACAGAAGAAAGCAGAAGCAGTCTGTCGAGGGGGTGGGGTGTGGTGGGTGGGTAGGGGTGGGCTTGATGAATTCTCCACCGTGGATCGATAAAGCTGCTGAATAATATCTCATGGTGTCAGCAGAGTACAAGATTAAATATTAATCGTGTGGACAGAGACAAGGTAAATCCATTACTCACCCCACCCCAACCCACCCCGGGGTTTGCTTTGCTTTGCTTTGCTGCTGCTGCCTTCTCTTGTCTTCATTACAATGACATCATGCCTTACCCCTTTCTTTTGCTTTTTCAGGCTTCCACACACACTCATTTTTTACCTTAAATACAAATATATGTGTTCAGGCAAAAGGTAGAGAAAAGCAAGAAAATGGCACCAAACAAAACCTAAAAATTATAAATAAATCAAACTAATTAATATCGCATACCAAGAAGCTAATTAAGAATATACACGTATCTATTTCTGTATGTATTTCTGAATAATTGAAGTGAGAGCATGATAGCAACAAAACTATAGAGACAGTAGTGGGTGTGAGGGTGGGGTGGGGTGGGGTGGGGTGGGGTTTGGGGTATTGTCCATCATGAAGTTAAATCAGTGTTGACTTTTACATTATAAGATTATATATCATTATTATTATTATTATTATTATTTCCCACACCCAAAAATTGGCATTACCTTTCCCTCGAACACAAAACAAAAGATTTCCTTCCTGCGACGATGATACCTTCGATTCAAGAGACTCTTTTTTCTATCAGAATTCTCTTCATTGCACGATGGTCAATTAAATTAAATAAAAAAATAAAATTAAGATGATCAATTATGCACACACTTAGAATGTAATGTAAGCATAAGCAGCAGCAGCAGCAGAAAGAATCAATCACAGCAAGTCTGAGTGAATGGCAGTGTATGTAGTTTTATTAATCAATTATTAAGTGTGAACAGACCTAACACTTAGACTGCATAAGCCATCAATCCATCAGTGGCACTGTGATTTCGACAGTTTACACTAAAATAGTTCGAGGGACGTAATGGTATGTAAAAGCTGAAAGTAGTTGTTAGGCTTGCTTCTTTTTAATTTTAAAGTAGTATTTTTCAATAATATTGAATTTTTTACGATTTAATTAATTCTAACTACAATAGTTATAGTAGTACCAATCTGAACTTAATTAATGGGTAACTTTCTGGTTTCAATTTGTCTGTACCCTACAGGGAATTGTTTCTTGAGCCCACCAAAATCTCAACCTCATCTGCTCTCTCCCTCATTCAATCATCACCATGAGAGAGAGAGAGAAAGAAAACTGAACTTCAGACTAATTAAGGGAACTTTCATTAAATACATATATACAGAAAACCCTAAATAAATTAAACATAGAAATATTTTTGCTACGTCACTGAGTTATTTGCAAATCAGTTCATTCATTATATTCAAATCATTCAGCTCATTTAATAAAAATATAATTATGTCATGAAATTAGATTAATTAGTTTAATAAGCATCAGCCATAGATATAGTTTCTACTTGCTGGAATCGAATTACAAAAGGAGTAATTTCTTTGGAAAAGGGAAAGAATGGCTAGAAAAAAAAGTTTCAATTCTTTGTTTATATATAAAAATATATATATATATATTATAGTATAATGTTGAAACCTGTTGTTGATCTTCCGTGCTCGTAGCTTGCAAACTAAGTCAGTAAAAAAATTAGCAAAACTACGTTTTCGGATATCTCTGTTTACATAACCTACTTTCAACTATTTGGCACTGTTTAGTTTTAAAAAAAATTCACATCAAATATATTTTTTTTTCTCACAAAACATTAAATCAAATACTAACTTTTTACTTTTTTTTTTTTTTTTTTTTTTTTCAAACTTTCAAATTTTCAAAAATCTGCAAAAATCCTTATCTAAATAAATTATATTTACATTGTTTGAATGCAATGTAATTCAAAAGCAATCATGAATTTCAATGTGTCCTGCAATACTAACACTACAAAAAATAGTATATTTGTAACGGAATTCCGTTTCTAAAGTTCACGTAGCTAACATAATTCCATCACTAATTTCGTCTCTAATATTATTAGTATCGAAAAAAGTAGATTTAAGAACGAAAAAATCTCGTTACAAAATTGATATTTTTTTATAGTGTAATATGCTCAAACCTTTTGGAATAATTCATGTATAACTCATGCATATTTATTACTTTATGACTTTAAAGATACTTAATGCTTACCCTTATCGCATCTCATTGTGAAAACATTATCATCATTTCGATGGTAAATTTTGTAGTTTTTGTATTCAAAATTTTGGAGATTAAGAAAAAACAAAAAAAATCACACGAGGATGTAAAAAATTGTTGATTTAATTCAATCAAGATAGATCTATGTTTAAGGATGGTCAAACCAAATGTTTTTATTAGTATTTTTAGAAAAAATATAAATAGTATCAAATATATATACAAGTATATATCAAAATATTAACATATGGTCCAATAAAACATTCCCAAAAATTTCTCGGGAAGTTAGATGTACAATATTTCTTTGGTTTTAATTTGGACTTTACAACACATTATTTTCTTATTGAATGTTCCATCCGCCTATCTAAAAAGTATATATTTATTTTTTATGCGAAGTTTAAGAAATAAATTTATGGAGTATATTTTAATTGTAGTTGGTACTTAAAAAATAGTGTAAATAAAATTTTGCTTTTACTTTTTTGGAGTAAGATGAGAAAGTAAATGTATTTGTGAAAAAAATAGAGTATTTTTAAAATGAGTATTTTATAATTGAACAATTCGAAATAAAAATATTTATATTTTATAAGTAGACTATTCACCACCTTCTTGGATTCCTTTGTATTTAGATAGCTACGAAAGTAACTCACAAATTTTGCATAAAAACTTTATGTGCCTTCTCATTTCCTTTGTGGGAAACTGATCATTGTTATATACTCTGATGAATTAATATGAAAATCTATGTGAGTGACAATTCTCATTTGAATAATATGCATGCTACATGATAGGGTAATTGAGATAACGTCGAATACAAGACATTAAAAATAACGAATTCATTTGATATATCTGAAATTCGTGGCTTTTGTAGAAAAGAGCACTTCCGTTCGAGATTTTTTAGGCTCTCGAAATTTTGTCCAATACTTTTTCCGCTCCTTAACTAATTATTATTTATTTTCTTTTTCAATAACAGTACTATCTAGCTAACTGTTGGAAAAATGATTTATCGAATAAACATATTCGAACATTTTAAAAGGCCAACTTAGACGATTCACAGTTATATAACAACGCTTTAACAACGAAAGACAACGCAGAACATAAAACAACAATGAGAGAAGGTGTTTGTTGACCCGGTTCGATTATTAACCAATCTACATCCGGGGATAACAATCCAGGAGATATTCTACTAATCAGCGCTGCTGATTAAAGAGAAAAACAACCACAACTCCTTCAACCCAAAAAACTATCATGGTTAACCTAAGAAAATACCTCAACAGGTTCACGTTGTCACAAACGCGTACTGACAACGACCATACAACAAAGCAGCTCAGAGTTTGATCATCCTCTCCTGTTGGAACTCAATTATCTTCGATCTCCGTCGATCTCTCCGGTAGGTTTCAGTGTTAAACAACAGTTCAAAATATGGAAAAAATTGGGGAAGGGTGAAAACACACACAATAATTTTTTTCTCTAAATTTTGGCTCTCAAACCTTACTCACCACCAAACTTTTTCTCATTTGGTTGTATATATCATGCAACCTTGAAAAAGAATCATCCTCATATTAATTTTTCTTAGTATAAAAATAAATGGAGTGTTCTTCAACGAATTTACACGAGTCTGACCATCCCAAAATACCATATTTGACTTTTGCAGACATTTAAAGTTTGGACACAATGAATAATGCCAAGCTCACAGATTCAGATTGCAGCACGATTGCAGTGACAGCCTTACTGCAACATCAGACTATTTGAAAAAAGAAAACTTAGCTGCAAGAAAAAATATATATATATATTTGTCAATATGCCAAAAATAACAAAACAGTTTATTCATTCACACTAACATTATAAATACCCTTTTAATTTACAATATATTGCACAAATATCGTTACATTTATATCATTAAATACTAATAAGTTAGTTTAGTCTTTTCATTTTTATTTTTACCACATCCTAATATACTAATATTTCTAAAACTCCGTGCAAAAATTAAATGGATAAATACATACGAAACGGGAAACGCAAGGAGGATAATATTAGTTACGATTTAAAGTTAAGTCTGATATGCACAAAAAATGAGAGTTCTAAACTAGAATGTGTCTTGCAAGAAGAGATATTAGTTTCGCGGTAGTTATAATATATATTGATATATAGTTGATTATTAAAAATAAAAAATGCTAATTATTATTCATTTACACTAAAAACTGGTACCCAAAAGTATTTACACTTTTGTTTTTTTTTTTTTTTTTTTTTGTTTTTTTTTTTTATATACATAGAAACAGTAATTATTATTATTCAAGTGTATTTTGGATAAATTTCCAGCCAAGTTTAATAGCCGATAAATTAGGTTAGTAAAATAAATTATACTAGACAAACTATGTGTGATAGACTCACCGGCTTCCGTAACATTTTTTTATAATATGGAAATTCACAGTCGCTACTAGACAAGTATGCTTTGGATAAAACCTTGGCCGAATCTAATAGTCATACTAGACGAACCGTATATAATAAGAAAAATCAGGAGGCATCGGTATTTAAAACCATAGTCTCATATTTTTTTTTATGACGTGAAAATCCGCAATTATTACCAAAAAAATAGAGTAAATTTTCGGCCGAACGTAATTCCCTGCAGAGATAATACAAATCCATTAGTTACTTTTTGCAGTACACGGCCGACAATGCAAAACACATGTTCATATATATGTAACAAATTAAAATATTATATATTGCTCATCTATGTAATAGATATATTATTTTTTATACATGTTCAATTATTATTATTATTATTTTTTTTTTAAATTTTTTTATTATTATTTTTTTTCTCTTTTGGGACCTATGTTTAGCCTAAAATTTTATCTACTTGAAAAATAATAATTGC